GGAGGATTATGAGTTCCAGTCAGGGAAGTGCTCTTCTCCTGGTAACAGCAAAATAGAGTTTTATCCAATGGGTAGCCACATAGAGTCATGATTCACCTCTCAAGAGAAAATGTCTCCACCCCTCTAGAGTCCAGTTGCACTTTGCTTTATATTGCACCTGGCATTTTACTTTGCACTTGGTGATGCAAGTCTTGGATTCGGCTTCCTGGCCATGGAAACATATTGCATAAAACTTTTCACACACTGTTCTTGAGCTGACCTTAAAACCACATAAAGACTGGAGTTCTGTAGTAATTTACTCTACAGAAAGCTGGTGACCACAATTTGCCTCAAAATTTGCCTGTTTTCTTCAATTGCTTTTTTATTGTTATAATTCCCCTAATAGTTGGCTGTGGAATGTCTATAAGACAGAAAGGTTCACAGATGGATTTTTTTACATCAAATTCACTGAAACTGGCTTAGCTCTTTAGAGCAACCCATGCCTTTACACTGAGAAATCTGTAGACATAGGTTCAGATTTTTTACGTCATCAGCCATTGAAGTGAACACCTGAATTAAATTATCTGAAGGGGTGACCAGATACTTCATGATAAATTTATTTAGATTAATTTCTAGACAATACAAACATAAAGTCTGTTTTGAATCCAACTATATGCAGTCCAATTCATTTCTCAGATGCAGTTGGTGATTTAATGTAAATTAGTGAAAACAATCTTATATAAGGAGGCTCATGTCAGATGAATGAATGAAGTACATGTGTTTTCAGCCATCGCTCATTCTGAACAACCCTCTGATGTAGCTGACTGAGGGACAAGCGAAGGGGACAAAGTAACACTTTCTGGGAAAGTTTAAGGAAGTTATAGCTCTATAAGTATTTTTTATTCAAAAATACAGTTTAGTAATGTCAGTTGGAGGAAAAAAATGCCAAAAATTGACATATTGTCAATGGCAACAACATATTCGTCAAGTATTCTATTCTATACGTAATGAAGCACAAAGCCAATGGCAGCCATAATAGCAAACTAGGTTAGACAGAAGAGAAAAGTCATCACTGAGTACTCCAGCAGCCCAGGTGTATCAACTGAAACCCAAAGCATAGCTTAAGAAAGCTAAGCCACACTGACTATAAATGTTATTTACAGAAGGGCATGTTTTAAACCTCCTCTAAAAAGTAGAAAAGATTCCTGCCTTACATGCAGAAACTGGGAATTGGATCTAACAGTAAAAAAAATGTCTTCTAATAAAGAAACTTTCCATTAATGTGCACGGTTGACTAATTATAAAATTAATGTTATCTTAAAATGATGTGTCATCCATTATTCATATGCAGAGGGGGAGTGGTGTCGTATTATGAAAATAAATTAACAATGATGCTGAGTATAAGAGCATGAGTGCTGCAGGCTCTTTGTCTCATGTGTTATCCATGTGATGAAGTGGTGATTTGTCCAGTATGTGTCTTCTCTGCCCTTGTTTCCCCCCAGCAGTCTGCACGTACTGTGGCCCTGAACAGAATAGAGCAGATCAGAGCAGCACAGCCATTTTATCACTACAATAAGAAATGAGGAACCTAAAAAAGTGCTTCTCTGGTCAGATTCAAAGCCCACGGGTTTCTATAAGGAGAAAAAAATCAAAGCTGTGTTCTCAGTGTAAACGCAAAGCTGGGGTGTGAAAACTTTCTGCTTGCAGCTTGGGAGAAGTGATTTTATAAATTCTGAAGTGGTAATGCCACGAGTGTGCGATCACGTCTGCAAAAATAAGGCACAAATGAAAAATATAAAAATGACAAAAGAATAAAAATTTGCATGTGAAAAATATCACTGGTTAAAAAAAATATAAGAAACATCATAATTAATGAAATACCAAAAATTCTGAAAATAAGCAACACATCTGTCAGTAAAAGCTGAAAACTTAGATTTGTTTTTGACAGAACAATATTTACTGTTTTAAAATGCTCAAAGAGGCACATGGGTTAGAGTTTTCTCTTATTTTCTGAACAAGGAACAAGGTGTTTTTGGTTTGGTAGGGGGTTTTAACAAAGTTGAAACCAGATGTTTTGCAACAATTTAATTACAATTACTCATTTTATCTCTATTTGCTAACAGATTGAAATTTTTATTATTATTATTATTATGTTCTTCATACTCTGAAGCTTACTTACATAATTAAAAATTAATAAATCAATAAAAAAAATTTTTTTTAAACAATCTGAGATATGGTATGCATTTTTAGTTAGTCCCTCTGTTTCCAGTCTGTAGATCTTTGGAGATTTGGCTCTTGTTAGCTTTTCCACTTACATGTAACTATTTCTACCCATTGTTTTGTTCATAAAAGTTCAAGATTGAATGGTAATGGATCATTTTCAATTCCCAAGTCATAGCTTTGTAAGCTTCTGATTAATCATTTGGTTAATTGACAAGATTTTAATTAAATTTATGTATTTTAAGGCAACACCTCAAACAAACTGCTTCCTTATGTGACATCATGGTAAAAACTCAAGTAACATATCAGGAAGAAGAATGTGGACCTTCACAAATCTGGCATAGCTTTCAGATGTTGTAGGATGCCATGTTTGTCTAGTCTGCGTTGTACTGGCGACCTATCCAGGTGACCCTGCCTCTCGCCCAAAATGTTCGCTGGAGAAAGGCTCCTGACCCTGTTAGGGACAAGGGTGTACAGAAAATGGATGGATGGGTGTTTATCTAGCAATTTTAGGTATAAACACCAGGACAATGTCCAACTATCAAACTGTTCAGTAAGGAGACAGGTTATGTACTCCAGAAATGAATCCTTTTTAGTTTAAAATATCAACTCCAGAACAAAAGTCCTTATGAACATGAAAAATTAAAAATAAGAGTCAGTAAATGTGTCCTGTACCTATATGGGCTAAAAGGTTACTCTGCAAGAAAGAAGCCAATATCTTGAAAGCAACATCAAAAGCCAGATTACAGTTTGTAAATGCACTCAGGAACAAGAAGCTTAATTTTGAAGGATATATTTTCAATATCTATTCATGTAGGCTGATAAATCTAATATTGAAGTGTTTGGTTGTAATGACCATTTTTACATTTGAAGGGGAAAAAAGGGGAAAACTTGCAGAGCACTACCCCAAATATGAGGTATGGGGGTTGGTAAACTCATGTTGTGTGCAAGTTTTGTTGCAAGAGGGACAAAACTTGCACAAAATAGATGGTATCATGAGGAAAAACATTATGGGGAAATACTGAAGCAACATTTCAAGACATTAAAGTTTGGTTTCTTTCAAGTTGACCCTGACCCTAATTATACTGCAAGAGTAGTCATAAAATGACAAAACAAATTCAGGTTGGAAATGTCCATTCCAAGTCTTGAGCTCAAGACCAAAGAAAATCTCTGTCAGAGCTAAAAATGTTTTGAGCAAGGCCATTTTCTGTGAGGCTATATTGATGTTTCAAACCAGTTCTGTTACACAAATGGCAAGGTCACCTTAAAAAGAGATTTGTTTTTCTTTATCTATAGATATTTCAAAATTAATATCATTTCTTCAGATCAAACAGAAAGTCGACTTTTTGAACAAGACAAAAGAAATACGTGAAAGAAATACATTTATTTTACCCTCTACATACTCCAAGGACATAATTTTATGGATATGTGAAGTCACTGTTCCCATTTAAACTTTAGATGTACCAGGACATGTTTTTTGGTCTCTTTCCAACATCCAAAGTTAGTCCAACAAAGACATGGAGACTAAGATTTGGTTAGCCAGTCACATTTTAAATCTTTAAACATTTAATAAAAATAAATAAATATGCCTCAGTTCTGATGAAACTGACAATGATGAAGGTCTTCTGGAAACAGCCAAACCTCCACTAACAGGAAATTATTGCTGGCTAACTTATGAGGTGTTCTTTCACAGGAATTATTGTGTCAATGTAACCTTATATGGAGGTGATAAGCCTGTGGCTGTGGTGAGGAGTTAAGAAACCCCAGGTTGATTTAATAGCAGCCTTTAGCTTATCTCAATTGTTGGGTCTGGTGCCTCTCTTCTTTATAATCTTTATAATACAATTAGCTGAGGCAAAGTGATTAAACCCATTTTTGGTACTTAGAATAGAGAAAATGAAATCTGTACTTTTATTGAGCTTGCCAACCTAAAGAAGCATGAAGGGCTCTTAAATTTTATTATAGCCATCTACATGATAGACTTGACAAAACACAGTGGACCAACGCCAGCATGACACGACACCCAAAACCCCAAAGGGTTGTGGAACCTAGTCTGAACCTCTGTTCAGACCGTTCCACTCCTTCACCAGGGCTCTAGGACCTTCATTTCCAAATTAGAAACTCTAGTTTTTTAATGTCCTCAATACGTTTTTTAATGAATTCCTAATTTACTAAAATGATCAATGTATGTTTATAAGTAAGGCAAAACTGAATGTAAATCTAAAAGATGAAAGTGTTTTTCTGTCTGGAGAAAATTTACATTTACCCTGAAATGTCATGAATTTGACCTTAAAAGATAGGAACTAGTTGATTTGTGTAACAGTCATTCTGTTTCTTTCCTGTAAGAGAAGCTCTGGGAAATATGAAGTGTTTATTCATGAGGCTAAACTTACAGCCATAGAGCTGGATGAGTAGGAAAGAAGGAAAAAATCCACCGACTTCTGTTAATAAACCATTAAAAACGTAATAAGTCTCGACCTGGCGGAAAAAGTTACCGTCCACATTAGCCAACTCTGAGAGGACAGAAACAACTCCTGCTCTTGCATCTTTAAAAACTCATCCACACCAAATGCGTGGAGAGAACGTCTGCTCCAAGTAAGGCAAGTGCATGCCATGGCCTTTTGATTAGTGTTGGTGGTAAATTTGTTGACTTAAGAGTCTTTGTGCTCACCAAGAAACACCAAAATCCTTGTCTTTTTTGTGCATAAGATGTTTAACATTTACAGGAACTAACACTTGATCAATAGATGAAAACAAAAACTAAGTATGGGCTTTAAATAAAAAAAAGTCATTTTTACAAGTTGGCATTATAAAACCCACTTTAATACAGATTCCACTTGTAAATGCACAGTTTTTGGAGTTAAGATACTTCAAACCATTTCATAATGTCTAAATGGGATGTTTCTCTCATAAAGCTTTCAAAAAAAAAAAAAGAAAACAGACAATTAAATACACAAAGCAAAACTGGCATAAGATAAATAAGCTTACAAGTGAGTGCGATAGTATAGCCATTAAGTGATAATCGTGTAAAAATTGTGATAATTATTCATCGTTGACATCATTTGTGCTGTTTCCAGAACATTTTGTCTCTTGAAAGGTGGAACCGAGGCACCACGTGTTGATCGTCATCTGATTTTTAGATTTCAGGTGCTTCCGAGCATTGTTACCACTACAACCTCAGGCTCGAGGACGCCAGGCAGATGTTTCAATTCTTCTTTGGGTGCTATCAGAGACAACAGGAGAAAAACACAAAGATCAATAACCTGAGCATTCAGACACAGGGAGACAGACATGAGGTTACAGCTGATGGCTCGCAGTGATCCAGGGAGCAGAAAAAGGAAAGCCTAATCTACAAAATCAGTCACCTTGTCTTTATGAGCAGAGGCGGGATGCCAGGCAGTCTCTGATAACTTTGGGTCAATGCCAAAGTAGCAAAAGACAAACCAGAGAGAGGGTGTCAAAATGTAATACCAATTAAAATTCACCAAACCTCAAGAGAATTTTCCATGGTTACTCAATAGCCAGGTCGAATAATACTTTGATAAGCATCATTCGACCTGGAGTCATATCCAATTAAAACTTTCACACATCAGAGGGGCTTTTTTCCTGGGACCATATTTGTATCAATTTAATTTCCATTTGCTACAGATGGGCAGCAGAAGGGATGCAGCTGCATTATCTGAATGCAGGGAGGAGGAGACACAAGCAGTCATGCAGGACCCAGCTAAAGGAGATCACAAAGGGGGTTTGGAAGAAATGTTTATTCTTTCCAAAGGGTCACCTACCAGTAGTTGCTAATAAGAGATGAATCATTCAAACCAGCACACCAAATCTCAGTTAAAGCTGTTTTAACGCAACAGAATCTCAACCAGACTCGGTCTAACAGAATTTAATCAAGCTGTGGGATTCTAATGGTTTTATTGAACTGTGTTTTCCAGTCCCCAATTCATTTTTTTCATTATATAAAAACACACAGGGATTCACATTCATGACTCTCACCCACTGAATAAACAATCACAATGTCATCAAATGAGTTTGATAAAAAATTATTGCAGGGAAAAAAAAAGGAAAGGGGCGCAATAAAACCCAACACCAGCGCCTAGAGGATGGGATGCGTGTTGAGAAAAAAAATATCTGGACATCTGTGAAATCTAAGTGCAGCGGTGCACATCATGCACTCAGGTAAGAGAGAGGCTCAAACCAAGCAGTGAACCTCCAAGAGGATTCTGTGGTACTCATGATGAGCAGTCTGTCTGGCTCACAAATACGAGAAGAAACCTTTCACAGCAAATACATATGCAGCTGGTTCATTGAACGGATGGTTTGTTAACCGAAGATATGTCTCTGCACAACGCGCAGCATTTGTTCTCACTTTAACTTGGAGAATATAAAGAAGAATTAACTCAAGAGATTTTTATGAGGAGAACCATTCGTCTGATAAGCTCTGCGCGGCACTTCCTGCAGTAGAGTCAAGGAGTGATGGATCTGCCCTGGCGGCACAGAGAAGGAGTTTATCTGCTCAACTCTGGACTGTTATTACTCCTGGACTGACTCTCTGTAAATATTTCCAACACTTCCTCTAGTCTGATTTGTCTTCATCTTGAGCCATCCTTTTTTTTTTTACCACATGAGTATTAACATGCCGGTGGCTCCCAGCACGTTTTCGTAGACTCACTTCTTGTACAAGATAAAAATTCATACATGTCGATGTGTATCAAACAGAAAACCTCCCATATGTACGACTTCTTTACCAGTGTGTTGTTCAGGTTTTCCCACCAGCAATGTTTCTTTTAATACCTCTGTGTGGAAATTGCTAAAAGCTTGATTTGTTTTTTTGATGAAAGGTTTAACCTGTCCAACATGTCCGCAGATAAAAATGAGAAAGTAATCTGAAATCAGATAATCCGTGCACACCAGCATACCCTTTGCCAATCCAAAAAGTCTTTGTTATCAATCTCCTGAAAATTTCCCAATTTGTATCGGTCTGAAAAGTGAAGAGCATATCAAAGCTGAGGTTTTGTATGGCCTCAGATTAACTAGATTTTGTAGGACAAAATGCCACACTTTTCCAAAAATGAATTCCTTTTTTGCAGCGATTCCTGCAATAGTCAGTCTTTTATTACGGTTCCTGCAAAAACCAGACTGAGAACAAAAACCTGGATGGACGGACGGACACCTTTCAGACAACGGATTCGGAAAAAATATCTGCATAAAAATTTTCGGGAATGGGATTGGGAAAAAAAACAAGGTTTGGATGAATGGACCTTTAAGCTAATGGTACCTGGGAGGAGAAAGGCTGGTTGGGTGGGTCATTTAGAAAATGGGTTTGGGGAAAAGAACCTTGGATAGATGGATGGATGGATAGAAGGACATTTAAAAAATGGATGGAAAAAAATTATGGTAAGGTCTGAATAACTCTTCAGAGAAAGGGGGAAAAAATCCAGGATGAATTGTGGCAACCAATAATGTAATACCTGCTCATAACGTAATAACTTTGATCACATGTAATAAAGTCAATAACCTGATAATCTGTTAAAATTGTTATCAATAATGTAATCTCATCAAATCCAGATTCTTTGAAAGTGACATACTTGCAGCTGATAGTGTTAAAACACATAATTAGGTGTCCAATTCTTGTAAATATTTTTTTTGTTAGTTTTTAAATGAAATGTTATGCAATCATAATTGTATGTGTGTTATTTTTTTATTTATTCTGGAAAAATATGAAAAGCCTCTTTGGGATTTAAATCTGGTGGCCCTTCTGAGTTCTCTGGTTCCCCCTGTAAGCTGTACTAAATCACACACTCTGCACTAGATAAACCAGGAAAAAAAAAACATGTGGCAGCTAAAGAAACAGGAAGTATATTGCACATTTATGTAATCAGTAAACTTCAGATTATACACTCCATCATCCCATTCACACTTGGGGATCCATTCCACAGACTTTATCTAATAGATTGCAAACACGCCTGTGATTGAGTCGATAGACAAACATTTTTATTGTAGTTTTTACTTTATATATCTCCTTAAAGTAAAAAAAAAAAAAAAAAACATTCTTGTTTAAATTGTAGGTCTTGGTTGAATTGTCGTTTATAATAAAGAGGGGGCTTAAAGCTCATCAAATACAGAAATATCTCAGGCAAACTGCAGTCAACTGTCCATCAGGCTTTCTTTCTCTTGCTGGCAGTTTTCTTGGTGAAACCCAGGAGAAACAGTTTCTGCCTTAGTCATGCTACAAAATCTGGCAAAAGTTCAGATTCTCGCTCCTATATTTAAACCCTGTTTTGACTAACAAACTGAGGTTCTTCCAGTTATTTTGACTATTAATGATACTTACAGCAGCGTTCAGTGCCTGGTCAAGGTCTTCGATGATGTCAGCCGTGTCTTCCAGTCCAACTGAGAGACGGATCAGTGTGTCACTGATCCCAAGAACGGCCCTCTCGTTCTCTGGCACTGATGCATGGGTCATGATCGCCCTAAATCCAGACAGGAAACGGTGCAACTTCAACATGTGTGAATACAGAAAAAAATTCTGATGTCCTGAAGGCAAGCAGAGAAGTCATTCTAACGTAGGGGTTGATTCTCTTTTTGAACTCTGCTGCCCTCTTGTGGAATTATTTCAAAATGCAATTTATCCTGCAAAAAGAAATATATAATTTTTTAGAAGCCTCTATTAGGAGCACAGATAGTTGACACTTACGGATGTTCTGCTAAGCTTTCATAACCACCAAGGCTCTCTGCGACTGCAAACATCTGAAACCAAACAACAGACATGAAGGAAAGCGGAGAACAGCAGCTTTAGGTTTTACTCATCTTACTGTCGTTTAAAGTCTTTTTTTGTTTCTTTGTTTTTTCATGTATTAAAGGTTCACTGATTTAGAATAAAGTGCTGAACTTCAATACATCACTTTAATTTCACAGCAGCTTCATTGAAGTATGTCATATAGACACAACATGCCTTTCTTTTTATTCATTTTTGTTTAAAAAAAAAAAGATAATCAGATCAAGTCACAACGATGATTTTGTATTGATACGATGCTGCCTATGGTTGTCTTTGTCTAAACTGGGTCCACTCCCAGAAATTGCTGCCTTGCAAACTCTGTAGTGATGTGAATTTTCTCAATACCAACCACAACAACAAAAAAGACTTAAAACATATTATCTATAAATTACTTTAAGATTGCTAAGGAAGGTGGTGGCGTGCTCGAGTTTCCCTTTGATATAGAAGGTTATCATCCCTGGACACCCGGTGCATTGTTTCTTCATCAGCTGGTACTGTGGGTGGGAGGACAGGCCTGTGTGGAGAGAAAAAGAAAGAAACATGAAAAACCACCTAATCTCCCTACACAAAGCAACAGGGCTCGTTTTTCAGGATTTTTGTTCAGGGTTGTGGGTTGAATAAAAACTAAACTAGTGCAAGGAAGTATGTGAACTCTTGAGCTTTCGATATTTCTGCCTGAACTGCTCAAAAAAGCAAATAGATAACTCTGTTGAACAAATGAGAGAAATTTAATTTTTTTCGACAAGGTTCAGCAAAAAAATTGGATACATGCCTGTGTGTCAAAACCTGTTTGTGATATTTTTTTAATTATATGTCTGTTGTTTGTCCACATGAACCTGTTAACTTCCAAGTTATTTTTATTAAGAAAGTCTCAGTGCTACATTTCTTATATTTGACCTATCAATGCTGGTAATACTGCAATTAATCTTTTGATAATTTCCAAGACTAAAATATGTTTTCCTGATAACTACTACTTGTGTTTTGTCTTTTTATCATGCTTCAGTGTTTCAGATCATCAAATCATTTGTCAGGCAGAGATAATCTGGGGGAAGTGGAAATAGTTTTCTAAATGATTTTATAAAACTAAGCATTTCAGAAGAACATCATATTTCATCAAAGCACTGTAGATAAAATATACAATGACAATGACAGCAACACTGTTAGGAAACACAATATGTACACTGAAAAAGAGAATATAGCGCCAACTTAAAAACAATTGTATAAAGTTTATCATATTGCATGTTTGTTTAGTTAACTTGACAATTAAATAAACTTCATATTTTTTTCAGTGTAGTACATCCATGTTTTTAGTGCTATGTAAACCGCAGGGTATCCCAGAGTATTTTAAGTCTGGCGGGCCATCAGGCTTTACTTTTACCCTCACCAGGCTAAGCATTGCTTATTTTTTAAAGTCTCTTTAAAATGTTTGCATTTTTTAAAACTGTATAGTTGGTGGTCAGGTATTAATCTTAAAATTTTTTAATAAGTGATATTTTCTAATTTCCTGTCAACTTTAAACATTTTTAACTCAAAAACACAATGGGCCGCTGACTGAATGACTCAACCACCGGTCTTAGTACATTTTTGGGAAGAAACCTTGAACAGTAATGTGAGAATAACTGAAAACAGGAAAAGCATAAAAGTATGTAATGTATGATTCATTCAGGGATAAAGGGATGGGCTCCTTGAAAAGGGAAAGCTCGGCATTGTGAATTTTTATCAAGTCTATTGTGGAATAAAACGGTAAAAGAAGAGAAAGGTCACAGACACACAGTACTCTGGCATGAACATCAGAGGAAACTGGAGCCGAGAATGCTGATTATTTCATTTCACCTGGTTAAAGGTTAACACAGTTTATATGAGAACATCAAAGGGTTTATTGTTACGAGCCAGGCCTATACAATTGAATAATAACTTCCTGTAGAAAAGTATTAAAGAAAACGCGTATAAAATTTTGATTACGGCAGAAAAATTTGAAAAAAATCATTTCAAATGAATTAGCGTCACAAAAGACATTCTTCTGCCCTAGAGACACAGAAGTTGTTGGCTAACTGCAAACAACTATAAGAAGGTTGGGAGGCATGTCTCAACAAATATTAGGTGTGACAAAGAATTCACCTGGGAAAATAACCCGCTCCACCCTGGGGTCTGCCTCCAGGAACCTGGCAGCAGCCATGGCGTTTTTAAAGTGCTGCTCCATGCGCAGGTGTAGCGTCTTCAGCCCTCGGTTACACAGATAGCAGTCAAAGGGAGACGGCACGGCACCGATGGCTGGTCACAGGAAGAACATTAATCACAGAGGTTAGAAACAAATCTTCCCAAAAATTTTGATCAGCCAAACAGAACAAAGCCCTAATAATAGAAAGGTTTAGTTTGGTGAAGGACTTTGGTCTCAGACATTTGTGTTGGTTGTTTGCTGAATGGAAGCAGAACAGGTTCAAGTAGCCACTTTCACCAGATACTAAGTAGGTAGAGAATGACTTTGAAGAAAAAAGGAATGAGCAGCTGACTTGCTTAGGTTATACTTGATCATTTTGATCATTGTAACAGAAGCAGACTAAGAATCATTTTATCACAATTTTTCTTAAAGTACCATTTTGGTTAAATCAAACAAATACTAATTATCTTCTCACAGTTTTGCAGAAACCTCAGTCGCTCATGCAGATCATCGTTGTTTAAAGACACCAGACCCATCACTACGTCACTGTGACCTGCCAAATACACAGAAGCAACAGTTCATGTTAGAACAAAACTAAGACATTACATGTGTTCCTGCAGTATTGACGTAGCCACTTTGAGTTTAAATATTCATATTTTACAGTTTATTTCAGGGACTTTGAGTTTTTCCAAAATATCTCAATATCTTCAATCAAAATATGTGCATGTTTATGTATTCTCCCTGCAGTTATTATTATTCTAACCACATAGAAGGACTCTCACTCATTTTCTTGGTTCACATGTGACTCACATAAAAAGTAGACATTTTAAAATAAATGTCTGTTATTTTTTCCATTATAAATTAATTAAGATATTTTATTTGCAAGGTGTACCCTCCCTCTCTATACAGTATATTCTAATGAAACAGTCACATCAGTAGCCCCTCTCCTTTGTGTGTTTTTGCTCTTCCTTGGCCTTGTTTGTTTTTTGTAAGTTTGCCTAGATAAATTGTAGGAATAGCCCTGACTTCCTGGGAATATTTACCTAGAGCAGTGTGCTATCTTTCTCATCACGAGACATAGATATAGACTTTCTTCATCCAGTAAATGTATACTTTCATTAAGAAAACTGAGACTAATTGTTTATTCTTTTTCTGTATTAAGTTGTTTTTCTTCTGCAAGATTGCAATAATTATAATCAATTCCGTGTTTTCGGTCTGATTTTTGTTCTTTTTGGTCTGTTTTGACAAGCTGTTGACATTTATGGGTAAATTACTCTTGTAAAAACTCAAGGCTACATGTGTTCTAAATGTTTGTTGTTGTTGTTTTTTTTTTACTTTAACAATTTTGACATTTTTAGAGTTTAATTGTCAGCAGGTCAAAACATTTTACATTTTGAAAATGTTTTCTAACAGAGTACCAATAAAAGGCCTGGGCAGTATTTGTACCGCTCTCTTTGACAAACTTGAAATCATAACATTGCAATTTTTCCAGAATGTTGGTCATTTACCTCATTCAATGTCTACCCCCACATCAGAAACAAACCTTTATGCAACAATTTGCAATAAAATAGCTTCAACATTACATGAGGACTTTTATATTACATACCATTCATGTATTTGGTGGCTGAGTACATACAGATATCAGCTCCTAAAGCCAAGGGGCGCTTAGGGTGCACAAAACAAACACACAAGTCAATCATTAAATGAGTTTACACATGAACAAGAATGTGATTACAGGGAATCATTACTACCTGGAAATAGGAAGACATGAAGGTGTTGTCAACAACCACTACAATGTCTTTGCTGTGCTCGTGCACCAAGTCAGAGCAGGCCTTGATGTCTATCACCTTCATCATGGGGTTGGTTGGGGTCTCGAGCCACACCAGCTACACCAGACAAGAGCAGGTATTAGTGAAGCACATAGTCCAGTGAAATAAATACGAGGTTTAAGCAAATAGCGATTGCACAAAGTGCTGACTCACAATGACTGCTCTGAATGAGCAGAAAAAATGGCATCCACCCCAAAACAAGACAAACAACTGTGACAAAAACACCAAATTCTTCCCTTCCCTTGACCTACTTTGGTGTTGGGCTTCAGAGCAGCTTTCAGCAACTCTAGCTTCGTACAGTCAGCAAAAGTTGTTTCCACCCCAAATCCAGTTGCGACTCTTTGGAAGTATCGGTTGGTACCTTTACAATAAACAAGTGAACCAACAAACCGTTAAGATTGTTCAAAAAAATTTAATAAAAAAGAAGGAAAGCCACTCATTTGTATTATGGCAGACGATTATGAGAGTACATGAATATCTGAAAGCTGAATCTCACCTCCGTACACATCGTCCATGCAGATGATCCCATCTCCTTTCTTCAGCATGTGGGTAATGGTCGTAGTGGCTGCCAGTCCTGAGGCAAAAGAAAGGCCTGTAGAGGAGGAGCAAAGATTGTTCTTGAAAACCAAAAAACAACATTTCTTCTAGGGGGAGAATTAAAATGGAGTTAAACCTTTCCCCCTCGCATTGGTCCAGGTCTGACCAATCAATGGAGAATAAACACCAACTTCAAAACAGGATTAATCAACTTTAAGAGAAAAAAAAAACTTTTATTTTTATCTTTAGAAATTCACATCTGTTTCCAAACTTGACCAAAGTTCTCCATAAAAATTGCCACTTAAAAACAGAACAATGTTCTTTTGCTTATTTAAAATGATAGAAAACAACTGGTTGCTATCCAATTTCATTAGATTTTACCTCTGCCTTCGGCAAAGAAGTTGGCAAAGTTTACAAATAATTAAGTCTACCTAATCAAAAGCAATTTCTTCACTTTATCCTCCTTATCTTTAACCATGCATGAATAAAGATAAGAATGAGGTAAATACTTTTCTTAGGCGTGCAAGAAAAACTAATTCAGTTGTTTGGAAATAGCTTAGGATGTGAAAATCCCCAACAGTTATGGATTTTAAAACATCCGATAAAACTATAAACTTTCCATATGGTCAGAATGTTCTGAATCTGTTGTGCTGCTTACAGTATTTTGCTCCATCCAGCGCTGCCACAGCCTTTTCCAGACAGTTTCTGGTAGGGTTTCCACTCCGACTGTACTCAAAGCCCTGGAAGGAAAAGAAGAAGTTCACTTGGGATTTTAGTGAACATGGTTATCTAAAGCTTACACTTTCAGCCCACAGGCTTGCATTACATCCAGTGTTTCTGCAGAAGCTGGGAAAAATATATAGTTAATGGAAGGAACTACGACGGACGTTATGCAGCTAAATTTGAATATTGAAAACATATTTCGGACAATAGAAAATCAATCAGTGGATGACGGTTCTGTTTTCTATCATTGACCTTTTCATTTCATTTATTAAAGGAATGGTGTGACTTTCATGCAATGAAAAAAATAAAACTTAAATATTACATTCTAGGTTCACGTTTCCTGGACAAAAATGTAATGAGGCAACCTTTTCTAATGTTTTATATTTTCTGTTTTATATTTTCTGCAGCTGTTATTTTGACGTAAGTAACACAAGGTTTGTGTAGTTCATTGTGAGTGAGAAATACACCTCATCGACTTTATCTACCGCCTCCTGTATGAACTGCTCCCCTACATCTATAAGGCTTTGGTTTGCACAGCTCATTTACCATTTCAAAGAACACAGATTATTTTAGGAATGGAATTTAGATTTAGGATTCTTCTAGCTAATTTTTATTAACAGAAAGAAAAGATTACATGCAGATAGGTGAGATAATCTTTTCTAAAAGAGCTATAAAAAAAAGTTAAATAGTACCAAAAAAAAGAAAAAAAGGTGAACTTTTAGTTGGACTTGCATATTAAATGAGAAGGTGTTTTTATCTGCACATAACTAAGAGTTGATTATAACTTTATTAATCTCTTTTTACAATATGTCATCTTTAGTTTTCTCTATAACTGAACATTACCTTACTTGCAACAAGAAAAATAAGTTTACAAATAACCAGCCATAAATCATTGACAGTAAATAGCTTGTAAATGTATGAATCTTTCCTGGAAAGGGGATAGCTTAGTAATGAGAACACTGAAGTGCTTTTACATTTTTGGTCATTTTGCTTTAACAATATATAACAAGTACTAAAATGATTGAAACAAGTTAAATCATTAACAAGTGTTGCACAGGTAGTGCATAAAGACTGTCTTTTCAGTTCACACTTAATCTGTAGGAAGATTTCAGTAGTTTAGAATATTAGCAAAAATCTATAAAGAGGCTTCTGCTGATCAAGCTGTTGGAAACTTAAGAGGAAGGAAACATGCGGTAGAAAAAATAGCATATTCCAGAGTTTGGTGGAGGTTTATTTATTGTGTAGTATAAGGTTTTAGCTCTGCTACACTGGTAGCCAAGTAACGACATTTCGTTGTCAAGATTCACCTTGTGTTTTTTTTGTACAATGACAATAAAGGAAGTCTAAGTCTTCCTTTACATGATGCTTTGAGGCATTGAATTTTAAATAGGGCTGAAATCATTTCAGAAGCTGAATCTTAGCCCGCATTGTTTACTCCACCAGCAATTTTGATGTGTATCTGGGATCATCATTGAGTTGTTACAGCCAATTGTATCCGAGCTTTACCCATTTGAGTTGAGGTGAGGTTGAAGAATTTCTAGTCAGTCTTCCTCTATCATTACCCCACTTTGTTTGATGCAGAAGTATCACTGGCAACAAAACAGACCGTCAGAATAAAGCTGCCATTGCCATGTTTTGTGCATGATTGTATGAGGCTTCTCTGTGGAGGTAGCCAAATAACCTTAAAAACAATAGTTGGTTTTGAAGCTTTCTTTGCTTCTGTAATCTGAATTTTGGCTTTGCGATAGATGTGAGCCACATTACAAACTTTACTAAAAATAAGCGCTTAAAACCTCACATTGTGTAAGAAATCTGAATAATTTAATAGTTTTGCTTTCCGAATTTAACCACTGGAATGTATAAAATGTTGAATTACATTTTATTTTTTTGATGCGTCTACATTTCTAGCACATTATAGGACAATGAATCAATGACCAATAAAATGAGAGTTCTTGTAAAACTCATATTGTACAATTACTGAAGCCTCACACACACGGATAGATCTATTTTTAGCTTATTTTAGTACAGGTATAGCCAATGCGTATATATTACCGCCGCCCACTGTTTCCCTCCCCCCGCCTTAAACAACCGAGTCTTATCCGGCTACTTACAGCGTGGTTCCCCGGCGAGTGCTGTTTGAAGGTGGTAGAGAGGGAAATCGGCGGTACCACAGCCATCGATGACCACTGCTCCGGCTCCTGGCCGATGTGTATGGCATCTGTGGCGAAAGATTTAAAAGCCGTGCGGAAGCCAGCGAACAAATCGCCAGCCTCATGTTTATCTGACTGGGCCATAACCGTGAGCTTCTCTGATTCACCCGAACGCACTGGGCTCAAGATGAGTGCGCATTACAGTTTAACGGTAAAAGGGAAATACTATTTTACGGGGGCTGTTCTCCAAGCTCGTCCGTTCCAGCCAATCAGTGCTCATCGGCATGCAGAGCGAGGCGCTGATTGGCTGTAGCGCCTGGGGCGTCCCGCGACTCTTACGACAGCACGTTGTTTGCGTTTCAGTCTGTCCTGTGATGCAACGAATCTTGTTTTTGAATCAGGTCAACAGTTCAGTTATCTCTTTCATTTGAGTTCAGTTCTGTGATTTTACAGCTTTATCATCTCCTGAAAATATATCAGACCGTAAAAAGGCAAGTCCTTGAAGAAGTAAAGTCACGTCACACCAACAAATCCAAGAAGTTTGTCGATCTTTACGCATGTTTGACCATAAATTACCATATGCTGGCTATTTGTAAGCCACTACCATAGCAGTTGTTAGGGTTGCTAAATAGAAACTCAGAATATGGTGCTGTTCCTTTTTAAGCTTGGGAACGAGACAGTAACTCGAACTGCACTTCCCTGTTTGAACCACAGGGGGCAGACTTGCACCGCATTGACTTTCAGTGATAACAGAAGTTAGATTCGCTGGATTTGTTTTGAAACCCAGCAGGGCTGACATTTTAGTGCAGTGTCCCGCGAAAGTGTTCATACTACGTAAATTTATGTTTCCACTGTTTTACGTTACGAGCCCTGGGACCTATTTATTTTGTTGCGTTTTAATATAACAGACCAACAAAACATACTGAGCCATAACAAAGTGACAGAATGTTTCTAAAACAAATTATCTGGCAGTTGCATCTAACTTTCTTTTTGCTAAAATATTTTGTTGTTGAAATTTTACAAGTTAAAGTTTTGTTACTTTTCGATTTACTTACATCTGAATTCTGAACAAGTTCATTATTTTCTTTCTGTAATTTTGAAGTGTGGACTATTTCTTAGACAAAATAAGTGAAGGTTTTACTTTAATAACTGGCCATTTTTACTGCTTTAAGAAAATGTTTTTTTTTTCTCTTTGAATCCAAGGCCAAAAATAGATGCCACCTAGATTTAACTGATTTTTACCTGGCAAATAGATGAAAATGTGCATCCTGGTGGATAATTTCTTGTTATTTCTTAACTGCCAAGTTAACAAGTTGCTGGAACCTAACATATGCAGTGAATTGCATTTCCATTTGGTTGGGGAAAAGATGTTAGCCTATAAGAATTGTCAGATTATTGGCATGCATCATCTACATTGAAGGAGATCGCAGAATGGGTTAAGAACTGTCTAATACTTTATCAGAAACTGGAGGAAAAATGGGGAATCTCTGCCTTCAAAGAACAAATGTAGTCAGATTACCACATTTGGGGAAATCAAATCAAAGAAAGAAAAATACTGTAACAAAATGCAGTATGAACTACATTCAGGGGACTGGATTTTGAAAATGTGGTTTCTTGCTGTGAAAAGAAATGGTGGATCACATCCATAACACTACCTTAATTTTTTAATTTACAGTTGGATCTTAATTGTTAGGCAGCAATTTTTTGAATTCATAGCTATGTTTAATAGTGAAAGTAAGAGCATATGCACACACATTGTGAAGGGAACTCAAAGGATTGGGACTGAACAGCTGTGAGGCCATGAGAAAACAACAAATCAGAGAGGCTAACTGGAGAAAAAGGCTTCAGCTTGCAGGGGAGCATAAAGATTGGACTCTGAGCCAATGGAAGACAACCATGTGGTCTGATGAGTCCAGATTTACCCTCTTCCAGAGAAATGGTGCATCGGGGTAAGAAAGAAGGCGGCTTAAGTGATGCACGCATCATACCTAGTGTCTATTGCAGAAGCCTGTGGGGGCAGTAATATGATCTGAGATTGCTGCAGTTAATCAGGTATAGGTTCAGTAACATTATGATCCCAAAGAATGAGGTCAGCTGACTATCTGACTACACTGAATGACCAGTTTATCCCATCAATGGATTTTAATTCCTTGTTGGTGTTGACATATTCCTTTATAATACTGCTGGGTTTCATTGGATTAGAGGACTAATGTCTCAGCCAGATCTAGAGAAACTCATTCATGCGTTTATCTTTAGTCGCATTGATTATTGCAACAGTGTCTTCACAGGCCTGTCCAATAAATCAATCAAACAGCTGCAGTTGATCCAGAACGCTGCTGCTCGCGTTCTCACTTGAACCAGGAAGATAGAGCACATGACACCAGTCTTAAAGTCCCTCCACTGGCTCCCTGTAGCTCAAAGAATAGATTTTAAAATACTGTTGTTGGTTTACAAATCACTGAACGGTTTAGCACCACAATACATCAAAGATCTGCTGTTGTTGTATCAACCTTCCAGACCTCTCAGGTCTTCTAGTTCTGGTCTGCTCTGCATCCCCAGAACCAGAACCAAGAGAGGAGAAGCAGCTTTCAGCATCTATGCACCAAAACTTTGGAACAAACTTCCAGACAAACTGTAAAACAGCGGAAACCCTGACTTCTTTTAAATCGCAATTAAAAACACACCTGTTTAGAATTGTTTTTGAAATGTAATATGTAACAATGTATTGTCTATTATATGTTGCATGACTTTGTGTTCTTGTGTTTATGATGTAAAGCACTTTGAAATGCCTTGCTGCTGAAATGTGCTATACAAATAAAATTTGATTGACTGATTGATTGATTGATTGCACTCAAATGGAAAAAGGCGTTGAGGAAGATACCGTTTTCATTCACACAATGAAATATTAGAGTCACCTTTTTTGGTGATGGCTTTTGTGTTTTGGCCAAGCAGTGAACAAAACATTTTGTTCTATGTGAAATAACTCACTAGCCTTTGTTACTTATATAAAAATACAATAAATAAATTAAAATTAATGCAGATAGTCATAAGGCAACATAAACTAGCCTCAATATAGTTTTTTTCCTGGTGTAGTTTAAATTCTTGTGTGTTTGATACCACAACCTGTTTCTTAGTCACCACCTCTTAATGTGAACAGATGACCTGGAGAATTTTCAAAAACCTACATTAATTTGAAGTCAAGAATAGCTGAGATTCGAGTCAAGGTCAAAGTCTTTTGGGATTCACCTACTCAGGGCTGAAGTCACCAAATGTGTGTCTTGAGCTGACTGGAGTCCATGTCATGTAATTCTAATCCAAATAATTTTTTTGTATCTCAATTATTATCAATATTTTTTGTTTGTTTGTTTGGATTGGATTTCATTGGTTGTACAATTTCAGTTCCGATTAAAAGCAAATAGGTTGAACACTTTTTTTTCTCCAAAATGCAGTTGCCCACATTGGAAATGTACTATTTAAATAGTTTTTTATTTTATTTTGTATTTTTAATTGCAAAGAGCAAAAAACAGTGAGGCAGTGAGGAATTAATCAGCTACAATAAAAGGGAAAAAATGTAAATGAATTCGCACAGTTTAAGATGATGGTTGTTAATGGCAAAATAGAAAAGAAAGTGTAGCTAATATTAAACAAAAACTCATTCTCATTATCAGTAAAGAGAATATGCTAATGTATATTACCGGTAGGCATATCTCCTTCATAAACAAAGCAAAAATGTTCCTGATAATAGAACTTCAACTTTTTTGTCATTATCAAGACAATATAAATAATACAAAAATCCAACAAAGCGATGATTTGTGTCAGTAGTAAAACACACAGTATAAAATAAAGTCTATAAAGTCTGAGTGACAGCAACAGTAACCTGAGATAATAACCGTTAGTAACCTTTTCTGAAGTCTCGCGACAGTTGAAAGCGGAATCTTTCGTACTCGTGAGACGCTTCTGTGTTGAACAGCAACGACAGTTTAGGACGGCGGGAGGGGAGGGAGCAGTTTGTTTTGACAATACACCGGTAAACAAACGCCACCGCAACTTCTTTCTTCAGAAAAGTGGCGTTTTTGCGTCTTTGGTGGACAGGTATTCGTTGAATTAAATGTTGTACGATTTCCAGGAGCTCCAGCCGGCGAATAGCATCAGTTCGCCCCGAGGGTCATCGTCAGCGGCGACACCCTCTGCTCCCTCAGCCTGAACCGTTTAAAAAAATGACTGGAGAGAAGCTCCGCTCCCTGCGTAAGGACCAGAGGCCGAGCAAGGACGAGGATCTGCTGGAACCGGACGAGGAAGCTGCCACCGGGACCTTCGCTGCCCCCAAGGCGAATAACAAGAGCAGGGCGAGTAAAATATTCAGCAACCATAAGTTAATCAAGTCACCGTCCACACAGTCGCAGAATAATGGCAACACCAATAACACTCTGGCAACATCGGATGTTATTGATGACAACAACAAAAACCCGATCATCAAACCGGGGCTGGACTTTCCGGTGCACGAATGTGTCTTTAAAGGAGATGTCCGACGGCTGTCTTCGCTCATCCGGACGCAGAATATTGCCCAGAAGGACGTCCATGGTGAGCATGCTTACTGCTTAAATTGTTAGATTCACAAAAATACCCGAATCAAACATTTTCTTGGCTTATTTTTTGCTAATGTGCCATCAGTTATCACCAGCGGTAAAAGTAGGTGAGGCTTCTTTCACGCAAGGCCTGAATGACTCCTGACAGATCACTACTGTGATCCTGTTCTCTGGCATATCCTAAAATCCAGTTCTCTGGCACAACCTTAAAACGCACCAATTAGTCAGACAGAGATTGGAATAAGGCGATTTTATTTGTTTCAGTGTTAAGCAAACTCTGAAAAATCTGATGGATTCCTAGATATATCCATCGCAACTAACAATTGGAACCATTTTCTCTGTGGAAACCAGCCACCTACAGTATGTGCACTGATGCACTCTAGCTTGCTAGTCAACAACATGCATTATCATTATTACAACATAATTTTTTAAAGCAATTTCTACTCCTGAAATCAAAAGTTATGTAGTAAAGCAATATAGAAAGATGGCGAGAAAACAGCTGAAAGTTTCTAAAGAATGAAAGAAAACACATCTGGACTGGAATTGAAGAAATGAAAATTCAGGCAACATTCCTGTAGAAACCATAAAATCATTTCTGCTCTCTCTTTCTGAAGTCAATGTTCATAATATACATGTATGTCGGCATTCTCATCTTGCTCAATAACAGTTTCACTAGAATGGCATAATGTGTAAAAAGTATTGGAAGCAGCAGGAATTCTCAACATCAGTATATGTTTTGTTAAACTGAGGGTTTAACTGCATTGGACTAACATAACTGTTAAAACACTGTCGGCCACTCCAGTTAAGCACAGTTTTCCATGAAAAGTTACTTCATGCCAATGGTGCTCATGTGGTGGTTGGAAGAAAAGTTAAAATCAGTCAGCAGCTGTAGTCGAACATCCACACACAGAGAAAAGATAACTTGGAGCTGTAGGTCTTTATCATAGTCAACCACGCAGGGAGGGATTCATTTACTAGCACGATTCACAGACATCAGCAGATATTTTGTTCTCGTTGAGAACCCATTAGAAAATAAAAGCAGCAGTCAAATGGAGCATTTTCTCAACTGAAAAACTTTATGCTCACAAACATGCTCACCAATCTATTTTATTATTGACTCCCTAACCCATATAATGTAGCTTTTACAGTAATCTATTTGATATTTTTTAATTAAAAAGTCTTTTTTTTCTTTCTTTTTTTTTTTTTTAAAGAAAACTGAGTTCTCCATTAGATGTTTCAGTCACTAGAGGTTGGTTTTCACAGCTGTGTCAATTTGTAGTCTTTTAATTATGTTGCAATTTAATCTTTGTGAAGCATTTGTCCTTTTTATCTGATAAATATAAATAGTTTCTACCTCATCATCTTATGTGTAATAAAATAAAAAAAAAAATGGTAGGAGTGACTTGTGCTCAGAAAAATGTGTTTTGAAATTATTAATGCTTTGAAAACAATGGTAAGCCTTGTTATAATTTTATTTCTTATAATTTCAAGATTTAATTTTTTTTTTTTACCTCTAACTCGTGGTACTACCTCTTTACTAAAATTTAGAAGTTAGGGAAATATGTTTAAAATATTTTTTTAGAATCATGTAATTCCTTTATTTCTGTTGAGTTCAAAGCTAGCACCTCCGTCAAAGATCTTTTAGTAAATTTTGTCTTTCTTATGTGTAGTGTTTTTGAAAAAAATCAATGGAAATCATGGAAATTGGTTTAGGTAAGTCAGGCCTGAAGAAAACCAGCTTTTAGTACTGATCCGCTAAAAGCTGGATCAGTGCATCTTTCACATAAACTATTTTCTTCTTGTCACGAAAGAAGTTGTGTTAGAGGTTTTCCATTCCAGGCAGCAGCATATCGTATCATCCCTGAGCAGTGAAATTAACAATTTATAAGCAATACTTGTGAAACCCTAATTTTATTTCAGCCTATATTCAAGTTTATAGATGATATATTAAGGTGAGTTTTACAAAACTTTGGGAACCACCAGCTTGTTGCAGTTATTCTTTGGGCCAAAGTCTCTTCAGATAACGGACTAGTTTCCACATAAAACCCCTTCTGCCCCAAACTGGACTGACAGAAGGGACAAGATTGTCTTCTTCTGGCTCACATACCAACACAGAATTTGGTTCCTACTTGTACCAAATGTCAACATAGGAATGTGCTCTCACATTGCCTAATTCAACAGGTTGTCAGACAGAAAGGCATTATTGTGAAACCTGAACCTGTACTTGTCAAAAACTTTTCCTCTGTATCGTAGGTCGGTCTGGTTTGGCTACTTTTTGAATACTTATCCCCACAGTAGTTCAGCTTCTGACAGATAACAGAAAAAAAATCCCAATACATTTCAGTTATGTAATGCCATATTTAAATACAAGAATCAAACAAAAAATACAATTATTTACTACACAAAGAGCACTTACTGACTGTAAAAGACAGTTAGAAAATTATTCTTGAAGTTTAAATTGTTGTCTGTTGTGACAGTGTCCAACCATCCCTTTTCCAATTCTCTACCATGTTACATCTAACCTTTTTGCCCTTTTCTACCTCCATTTTATACTTGAAAAGGAACTTTTTCATAATCATTTACTAATTTACTTGTTGGAAATATTTTTTATGAACTATTGAATAAAATCTCAAATTTTCCTAGGTATAATATAGGTTCCTAGGTACAATAAAATATAGTTTTATTGTAAATGGTCCTCTGATATTTTGTATAATTCTTTATTCACATTTATTTTGGCTCTGGTTTCTGCTTTGATGAGCCATCTTATGAAATGTGGGTGAAAATATGGATAAGACTATGATCCCTGAATAAACCAAAATAATGTTAGTGATATTGTTTGCTTGAGGTGTAAAATGATATGTAGTTACAGAAAACTATATAAGTAGAATATAGAAAATTATTTTAAAATATTTGTGGAAAAAAGTGGGAATGGAACAGACGGATTTGCTGGGGGTAGGATCCCTGTTTCAGCTAGCTGAGCAGCTTTGGGAAGCAATGTGTGGGGGAGGGGCATCACAGTGCTACTCTGCACTTTCTTTGGCATCTCAGTCAAAGAAGTTGTACCGTACGAATAGTATGAAAATAACTTTTAGAACCTCAGTAGCTTGATACTGATAAGTAGCCAGTGCATAATGTTGTTTGTAGAGATTCATTACACTAATAGTGTAACTAATTTTCTAGAAAGAATCCTTTTAAAAAGTTACAATTGCTTTGGAAGTGTATCCTATCTTAAAATCTCTAAAACCCCTATCAGCAGGATCAGACCCTTGTGCTTCAAGAAACAATTTTATGACTGCCACTAAAATGGCAGATAAGTATCTAGTGGGCATGTGACGCCTCTTCCTATGTAAAATACTCACACCTCTAATCATTTACCACAATATGATGAAAGAGTTGTATTTCACACCATATCAAGGCTTACATCTTTTGAAGGCACTCCCTACAGTGAATGCCTGTTCTCATCATGTTTTCTGCAGTAGAATCCTTTAAGGAGCTGACGGGGCAGTTTGGCTTCCTCTGAGGCTTCCTCCCCCTTTATATCTTGGGGAGAAAAATGCTTTTTTTTTCCACACACCTGTAAAAAAGTTATTTTTGGGGATCATTTATATATTGTTGCTTTTGCCATGAAATGATTATATTTAGCTAACTAGCCATGTCACCACCAGATAAATTGAAATTGTGGTGCAGTTGGTTGTTAGCTCCTGAAAAAGGCTACTAAAGGCTGCAGTGAGAGAACTCATAATAGGCATTTATCATTACCATATAATTTTGAACTCTGTTTGTTTTGCTTTCCAGTATAAATGTGCAAATTATGCAAACTGTGACAGCTCTACAAATAAAGTTCTTGTCTTTGCTTTTTCCTGTTTCTGTTAGTGACTCTAGAAATAATTTTTTTCTGTCGTCTACAGGAAACACACCATTACACCTCGCTGTCATGATGGGACACAAAGGTGAGCAGTGTTTGAAGCGGTCCCTGCCTTGTGGTGTATTTCTGTTTCTGCCTGGCTGTCTGCTCCTGTTTTGCGAATGAAGATGTCTGTAAGCACATATGACATCTGTTTGTGTTTTTCTATGTTTCTGTTGTGTGTTTCAGTTTATTTTTCTGCCTCTGTCTGTGTCTAAGCACCACCAGACATTTGTGACAGATCACCACACAATCCCAGCAGGCAAGATGATGATGCATGAGTGAAAGGGTGTTGATTGTGTTTTACTTTTTCTTCTGGTTAAGAATTAGAGCTTAACTCTTTATCATTGGGATTTTCTATCATGAGTTTATTGAAGATAATAATTCTGCTACTGGAAATATTCACCTCATTAATTGAACTCATGATGTGTGGGATAAGCTTTTAACTATTAGACCAACTTGCTCACCTATAAAGAAATACTTATTAAATGATGTATAAAACCATGATGCAACATTCAATTTTAAGTGGTATAATATAATAGGGATGCACAATGTCAGGAAAAGATGTAATTGCGATTTCTGAAAAATACGAAACTGAAATGAATTTTGATTAGCAGACATTTGATCTTTAGCATCCTACCACTAAAAAAATAGATCTGCATTAAGGAAAGTTATCCCACAGGTTACATCAAAATGCAGAGCTTGAATCCAAGATATAATATTGTACCACGTTTTGTGTCCAAGCAGTCCTTTTACATCACAATGACAATTATGATATTGTGTAACTCTATTTTATAATTACAAAGACAAGATAAAGTGTCATACTTTAGATGATATTCTACTGTTGGCCTAATAACTATGAACCTGGGAAATTATGCTTGAGCATTGAATAATTATTCTTTTATAATATTTGTCATATCTTATAAGCATACACAAGCCAACCTATTATGCTTTATTGGTATAGGTTGGAACAAGAAAGGAAAGGTATTTCTAAAAAAATGTTTGTGTATTTGAGAACATTTAAATATATTTTTTGAGCATATTATGACATCAAATCCATGCTACTGTCTTTTAAGCAATATTGTTTTTTGCTGAATTGAATGGGACTTAAGGCATTTGTATACAGAACTGAAGTATCTTATTTGTGTTAAAATGAAAAATTTACCGTACTTTAGTTTTTTGCTGCTGGAAATTGGAACACACATCAGTTGCATGTACTGCACAGTTCTATTTGTTCAGTGTCAGTCATTAAAGCACTGGTTTCAATTGATTTTGCATTCACAAAGGTCAATTCCTGTCACTGGAATTAGAGCCCCGCTGCTACTCTTTTGGTAACTCCGGCAGTCAAGTGACAGTGTTGTGTCGGATAGGAGGCCATGGCATTGATTGCGCTAATGAGGTTACTTGTTTTCTTCCCTGTCCTCCAGGGAGGCTCAGGCGAGCCAGGCTTAAGGCTACAGCATGAGATCACTGTCTGGGTGTGGCTGCCCTTTATGGATGGAGAGGACAAGACCCTCTTTGTGTGTAGTATTGCATGTGCAGATGTTTATTATTTACCATTCCAACAGTGACAGTTATGCATATGAGTGGCTTGAAAAACTGGAACAGTTACACTGGCTTACTGGCATAAGCTAGTGTGCAAAAGTGTCAGAGAGGCCAGAATTGCAATAGACAATGCTAAGCATAATGCTAGACAGATGGGTGATGTTGTTTGAGGTGTAAAACAGGTTTTGTATAAAACTTGCCATCTGCTGTATTATTTTACTGCTTGACTCCATCACAGATTGTGCATAAAGGGACAATTTAATTATCAATTAACATGTTGTTTTGTTTTTATTTATTTGTTTTAAATACTGTTGTTTTATTCACATTACACACCAAAGACAAGCAAGTACAACAGAACGTGCTTAATTAAAGATAAAAACAGGTGGAAATGAAAAAAGCATATACAGTAGAATTCAAACAGTACTTGAAAGGGGAGCTGCACCTGCCACCTCCCTTGACCCCAAGCAGAGGTGGTAGCAATGTCTCTCTAACAGCATGTATGCAGTCTCTATGGTAGCCAACTGCTCTTCTATTCATAATATATCATTCAAAGTATATTTAGATGCAGCCTTGTTGTTGTTTGTTGGTGAGTTACTGCTGTTGAAAAGGATAACACAGTAATCCTTATCTTCTTTCAACTTATTTCAAGGTTGCGTGTTCAAATCACTTGGGGGTCACCATATGTAAAGGAATGGAAAGGTGCTAAACATTTAAATATATAGGTAAACAAATAACACTCAGAGATGTGTCCTGTACTGCCAGCCACGGCGGATCAAGAGATTTATCATCACTTCTACCACGAATTTGTCTTACAGCTTCATCAGTACAAAATCAAGGTTCCAAAAATCTTCCCCAAAAATCTCCCCGTACTCTTGACATCGACCTTTTTTTATACACTCCCATTTTCACTGGTGTGTGTTGGGAAGTCTTGACCAACCACATATTGCTCTTGGTTTTACGTCAAGATCTTGGCAGCCCCTAGACTGAGTGTGTGTTGGACTTTCCCAGAAAACAATCGAACCTTGTGAACTAGACATCTGCTCCATTTCAGAATTACAAAATAAGCCAATTAATTGCAAATTGTTGTTTTTATCTATCTAGACAGCTTACTTCCCAAATCATATTTTGGTTCAACTTTGTGCTTCGCACGCAAGGGAGTCAGGTCAGATTGATCCTAATGGTACCAAGAATCTTTTCGCAAAAACAAGTCAATAAAAGGTATTTCTGCTCTTACGGTAATAGGCAGTTACCATAGGTAATTATATTATAAGTATACTATGTAAAGTGTTGAGATAAACATAGTTGTTCCAGAACAGCCCAGTGGTTATAAAAGTTAAAGCAATAGGTAATGCACATAACAGAAATCTATTGCCGAAAAAAAAAAAAAAAAAGTCTTGGTCCATGTTTCATGATGACCTACAATATCACCACTCCATCTACATAGTCAGACAGAATGCTTAAAGTGCCTAATCCCAGACCAGAAGGACATATGGCCTGGCTGCTCTTCCCATGGTTCTGCATATCTGCTAAATGCTCTTGTTGTTATTATACAACCACTGGATTTAGCAGAGTGATGTAGAGGTCAAAGGCCTCTGGGGACCTAAGGCTTATATCAGAAAGGGAGCGTACATCTGTGCATTTGTTCGCCTGCGTTTTCTCAACATCATCAGCAGGGCCGATGTTTCAGCCCCGGGCTCTGTCACAGGTTGGCCGATGCATTAGCAGGGTCATGCTGTTAAGTTTCATGGTGTGGGGCTGTTAAATAAAAGCCTGGGATTCAACTAGAATCCCAGGCTTTGAAGTAAAAAGCTCGAGAACAATGTTGGAAAAATGTGTCAAGAGGAGCAGAAAAGGGAGACGTTTTAACATGGTTGTTTTTGTTTTAATTGTCTTTTCTCTGTCTCCTTTTTGAAGAGCCAATAATTGCTTTAAAGGAATGCAGTCGTAGTACTTTTATTGCTCACAAGACCCCTTTTATTTTTTTTCTGTGAATGAACTATATATGGCCATGCATGTTTTTGATGTGTTTTCATGTTTATTCAGGAAACGTTTCAAGTGTGTCACTCTCACTTATTAAGAATACATGGGACCCTGGCAGCTTTCTCATCTATTAAACATGGCGAGGATGTAGGTGGTTGATGTGGGATTGTGAAGACATGTTACACTCAAAAGGCAGAGGTTATGGCATTTTTTTCATACTGAAGTTTATTAAAGGACAAGTCTGAACATGAGTGCAAAAACTTGAAGTAGTTTGCATTGACTCAGAATCAGCTAAAATACTTTTCACTGCCGTCTCATGTGAGAGCCCAGCATATCCACTCAGCAGCAGTTAGGGCTGGGTTTGCATTTGTTTGCTGCAGTGCTCACAGGACTGTAACTGCTCAGCCTTTGGCTGAGACAGAGCTGTACAGATGCCAGCATTATAATAAATGATGTCACAACAACACTGACAGCTGAGCCGGAACAACAGACTTCATTTTTGGCTGGCCGTAGTTCGCTGACAAGTTGCCCAGAGGGTGGAAGGATTTCTGTGCTGCTCTCATAGTTGGTCTTTGAATTGAAAAAAAAGTGACTGTCTGGCTAGTTATCTTGTGTTGTACTATAATTACAATTCTGCGGTTCACTCTACACAGTACCAGTGAGTTCCTGTGACTTAACTCTTTTATTCACTTGGATCTGGACCTTTAGTGTTAATTAAAAGAGTGTTCTGTGTCTTTTGTAATTCTAGGTCCCATATGGCTTGGTTTATTTAAAGATCAGCTGTCATCTCAGTCCTACATAATCGGTCTTTATTATCAGAGTTATTTTCAAAATGCTCAATTGATTCTGTAGTTAAATCAGATATGGTGGAGGTAGCTGACATCACCCGTATTAGAGCACACTGGACCTGGTCCGATATGTTTACAATAACAGTATAAACAGGTACTGCAGATACATGTTTACCACAGGAAGAATAAACCTGTCTGTCATTTGTTAAATTCAATGGATGATGAATCTGAACAGAAAACTCATTGAGCTGCACTTAACCATAGCAACATCAAACATTCTGAGAATATGTTTATCAAAAAATAGATTTATTGAATCTATTTCAAGAAATAGACTCCTTGTTGGTGTGTAGTGCTTTACAGCATTATGTCACATTTTACAACTACAGAGAAATGCATAACCAGAGGAAGGAATAATCTAGTGAGTTTTCAACAGTTTCTACAATTACAAAATTTGAAAAGTGTTGTGCATTTATATTCAAACCCTTTCTCTTTGATAGCCCTGAATAAGATCAAAAGCAGCCAGTTGGGGCTAGAATTCTCTTAATTAGTAAAAACTAGTCAACCTATGTGTGATATGAGTACACCTTTTCTGCGAAGATCACTGAGGTTTGTAAGAGAACATTACAAGCAAAAAAAATATAAAAACCAAAAAACACCACAGCAGACAAGTCGTCAAAAACATTTTGGAGAAGTTTAAGGTAAAGTTAAATCGCAAAATATCTCCAATTCATCTGACAGGACTGGAAATAAAATTAAATTCATAGTGTTGATGTCTTTCTGTTTGGTGTTCATAACAAGCATAAATGCCACCTACTACCTGCTGAAAAAATATAAATTATTATTTCTATCTTAAAACAACTGTCAAGTATGTATTTGGGGCTAGGGAGTCTGCATGCCAAATATGTAAATATTAGCATTTATTATAAATGTGCAGCTTTTCTGGTAATTTTCTGGAGGAGCTAAAGAGATCCACATCTCTGGGAAATGAATACAAGAAAATCATTTGCATCAAAATCTGTGTTATACTAGCTCAGCCAAAGTCCAGACCCAAACCTAATCTGTGATGAGAGTCAAAAATATTTGTCAACATATTCTGCTCATCCAATCTTAATGAGTTTGCAAAGAAGAATATGAATAAATCTCAGTCTTGATAATGTGCAAATGTAAAATTTGAGAGAATTGTCTGTCTTCCATCAAATCAACATGTGTAATACAATGATAAGTTACAAATGTACCACTCAAAAATGTCTGTGTGAAAATGTGTCTTTGGGTTTGTGTAAGACAAACCGTTCATCTCTGTCTGCGTAGCTTGTCAGTGATGTTTGGTCGATATGCTTTCAGTGTTTATGATTGTTTTCCTGACTGTCCTTTTCACAGAATGTGCCCATTTGTTACTGGCTCACAATGCACCCGTGAAGGTGAAGAATGCTCAGGGATGGAGCCCCCTTGCAGAGGCCATTAGCTACGGAGATCGACAAATGAGTAAGTATCTCAAACAAACAAGAACTGCAAAGCCCCGCTACAGGTACATTGTGGTTGCTTAATGTCAGTCAAACAGCCCGCTTACAGTCATAACTGTGGGTTCAGTCAGATTTTTTTTTTCTGTGAGAAAATCACGATGGAACAGAGAAAAGTCTTGATGCAAATCAACAAAGACCCTGCACATTCCTCCAAACTGCTGCCTTCCAGCAAGGCCATGATGGTGGTCTGCTTCTTTTGTTCATCAGAAAGAGGGTACATTCCTCAAAGTTCTTAGAGCCTGTGTTTTAATGAAAGGATATTCACTCGACATTTTTCTCACTCATCATACATTGATTGTGCTCAAGCTTTTAACCATTGAATTCCAACACATTTCAGAGAGGTAAAAACTCTGAAATGTGTTTTTACCACTCAAAATACTCAGCCTGAAATGTTCTGAGTATTTTGTTGTCACATGTAAGCATAGCCTTGTTACACAACAAAACTAACTTCTCAAAGATGTCACTTTAGTCAGATTTGTGATAAATTTTTGTGAGGAAGGGATAAAAGGGGGGGAGTACTGGCTTTGCATTGATGTTGTACAGCAAACTTCTAAATTTGTAGGATTTAGACTTTAATTTTGCTGCCTGATATATGGTATGTCAGTTGTTTTTCTTTGTCATGTCGTAGGTCAGCTGAAAAAAAAGCCCTGCGCTAACAAGCTAAGGGGTGCCATTTTGCTGTCTGTCTGTTGCAGAAGAAGTCTTACATAATACGGTTAAATGTATTCTTCTTTCGTACTTGTATACTGATACAAGAACAATTGCTTTATTAAATTGCTTTCTCAAATTGGAATTAAAGCTAACCATATCAACCACATACTTAAGTGCAGTATTGGCAAAAGACATGTTCATTTAAAGTTTACTTGAAGCTGATCATTTTACAACTAGAGCATCTTGTAACCTCTAAAGTCCATATTTTCTCTTCAACACAAATATAAAGGCAAAAAAACGAACAAACAAACAAATAAAACAAACACATTTGAACAAAGTATTTCTGGACACATTTTATAATTGTAGTTTTATCTGGTTGCTGGCAAAGCTTATTCCTACCAAAGAAGGGTAAAGTATTTGAAATTGACAAAACATACTTTTCTTGTGCAGCATGATGTTTCATAATTTTTATTTATTTATTTTAGTTTTGCCAAGTTCTGTGGGAACATCAGATAATAGTATGAATACAAAGGAACCAAACAGTTTCTGTAGTGTCTCCTGATGCCACAGCAGCACTTATGTCAAGTCCAATTTTAACTGAGAGATGCACCACAAAACAATTAGGCATACAAGCATAATGAGAGCATACCTGCAAGGAGTACAAAACCCACTCAGTTATCTTCTGAGAGAACCTTAAGAAGAAAAGGCAAAGTGGGGGAATTGACACGCAGCCAAATTTAAGGGGAAAATTCAGAACAGTCATTCTGTTCTCTTAACTAAGTCCCATGAAGACATGCATTTGTATTTTCTGTAATCATTATTCCAAACACCTTTTCCCTCTTGAATCTGAGACAATGTTAAACATCTTGCTCATAGATGTTACAGTCGGTCTGCCTCAGCTGATGGAATGGGAAGCCAAAAGGGACTTGAATCTCTGAAGCACTAAAACAAAAAATGATTGGGCCCAGCCACTCTTGTGTCAGCTTAGCCACAGATGGCTGACTTAACACTTTAAAAGGCAGGGACTTGCTTGGGTGATAAGAGTTTGCTTGATTTGTCGATTGCCAGATCACTGAATTCCAGGTTTTTTTTCCCTTTATGCATATATTTTGATTGTCCCCTTCCAAACCTGGTTCACAAGTCCTTTTTGCTTGATTGGAAACTCACTGTTGGCAAGAAAATATTAATTAAAAGAAGGGGTGAGACTTCACCCCATCTATGTGTAAGTTATAATAACGAAATAAGAAAAAACTGTAACAATTGTTTTCTGTTCAGCACAAAAATGCAGAGTATGTTTCAAAGTTAGCTTTATATAGCTCAAGACCACAGTCTGATCTGGATCTGTTTGTCAGGCCTTGAAGATGGAAGTGGAACCATAGAAGGTTTTGTTTGTTTTAAAGACAGACAAACATCCTGTGTTTAAAGGACTGAGATTAGTTCCAGCTAGTCATTTGTTTCACTTGCCAATTCATAAAGCTCATAAACTGTTTATGTACATAGTGATAATTTCAGAGACATTTTTGTCAGCAGGCACATGCGTCTTTGACTCTTTTTTGTGTTTGAATAAACACAAAACAAAGCAAGGTGGGGCTCAAAAACAGACTGTTTTGTGGAAAATAGCTGTCTGTCCTCACTTTTCTTATTTACTTTTCTAGTCGCGCAATTGAATCCTCTGCTTTAAGATCTGTTTTAAAGGCTGTCTCAGTAATGTTTCGTGTTATAAGATTGGGAGCGGTTTTTCCATGGGAGTGTCTGGCTGTAATGCTTTCTGCAGAGGAAATAAACAACCAAGCTACATCAGAGCTGTCTACTGAAAAGCTGAGGCAGAAAAACATGTGCTTAAGCAAATTAAAGTCTCAAGCAATGTTTTTCAAATGCTGCCATTTACTCTTACCCAGCAGTTTGAGGAAGCCTGAAGTCTCTCTGTTGCACACTAGCATCTTTTTTGGGGTGGGATGTGATACGGTTTCAGACTGTGTATTTAGGAAGCTTTAATTTGCACCCATGTGTGAAGTAGGACACAGGGCAGTCAGCACATTGCTCTTATCAACAGTGCTGTTTCTGTAACACTGCCAGTGTCTGGACACACATTGATCTACTATTGGACTACCTCTATTCAGATTGGATAAATTATCCAAGCCAGAATGTTTTTATTCCTCAAGGAGCAGCAATGTGTGAAAAGGGATAGTGTTATTGTTTTTAACTGTCCTTTTGAGAAATATGTTCAAACATGGCTTTGATCAATCTTTAGATGCTATTTTATGACCTAAAAATTTCTGACTTAAGAGCTAATCTTAGATTTTGTTCATGTTCACAGCCAGTTAAGCTACTTAAAAGCAAAGTGTTGTAATGTTTCCAGCATCACATTGTATATTAGTTTCAGTCTTAGTCTTAGAGAGCAGGCCAATACCTTTTTCTTTGAGATTTGCGATTAATATTGATAAATTATTTTTTTTTCCAAGGACTGTCACAGAAAGGTAAACAAATGTGGCAGGTTCCATGACAGAGGTGTATCAAACATATGTTCCTAACCTTTATTTATCTCTTATCTTTTTATAACAACTTTCCTTCCAGATCACTGATTAGACCTAATCAAGCCAATTCCAACCTCCAGTTAAATGTATCTGTAATGTCAGAGCAAATATCCCCTGGCTTATCCAGCAAGTATCTGTTCTCATATTCTTTGAGAGCTTCCAGAAGCAGTTGTGTTATTAGTTCCAAAGACTAATTAAGTTGTAGCAGTTTATAGTGTTGGAAAATGTCTGTTTTCATTAGAAGGTAGTAGTGAAGCCCCTACGGTTAGTCACTCAATTAATGCCAAGAAAATCTCCCAATGTCTCAATACCAAACACAATACAGTTTGGTATTGTGTTGTGGTGTTTCGCATCGGTTTCTTAGCCTGTGTTGGCTCGGTGGTCCATGGCCAGATGGTGAGATTATACTCCTTTCCTTGTCATAGTGAGAGCCATTGAGGATCAAGAGGAAACCCGACGAGTGCTTGTCAGCATTCATTAAGCCAGCCCACAAAGATCCCCACATCCTGTGATTGTGTCAGGTTCAGTTGGCACAAGTGTCTTCATGTGTGTCAATGTGTGTTGTTGCCTGTGCACCAGTTTGGCCCAATTCTATCTCGGAATCTGCACTGCTACATGGGGGGCACCCATAAAATAATAACAACAACCTGTTTGTAATGTTGACTCATGGATTTGATAGTTAGGTTAATGATAATCTCTTATTGGACAAGAGTTTTCTTTTAGTCTTTTTCAGAAGTAGGACTTTTGGGCTTAGACAAAATAGGAACTCTGTTCATTAAGTGTTTCCAGAGCTGTAGCTGGTAAAGTCATGTGGGCATTTATTCCCTTCCTGGCTTCACCAAAGAACCACAACTATGTCATGAGCTATAGATGGCTAGTTATCGGTTAAATAGGAAGTATTCCTATTTACTATTTACTCATCAGGACCCATTTTCCTGATGGGTCTAAAGAGCTGTGAATGCTTGATAATGTGACTGGTCATAGTTAAAAGACTGCAAGAATATGCCTCTCCCTCTGGTCAATAAGGAGGTCAAAGGCAGTGCTTATTACCAGTAAGCCTCATCTCTTCCGGACTCATTCCTTTTGAACTTCCTGTATTTCTTTGTTCCCTGCAGGCGCATCACCATGATTGCTTAGAAGAATAAAATGTCTTATCTGAATGCAGAAAGTTGGCCTATTTCTCAGGAAAAATACATTATGCATTTTATGAATATGTCATCTTCTCTATCTCTTCTATCTGTGTGCACAATATTAATATTGCAGGCTATGTGAAAAGTTCAAGGGTGGTAGATTTCAAGTGCTGTGAGTTTACACTTAGCACACTCATAGGATATTCAGACAGGATGGAGTTTAGTAGCTCACACTTAATGCAGGTTACAGAGTTCAAGATGTTAAAAGTGTAGAGAAATAAAGGAGCTGATAGCACCATTACATCATACCAATAATGTATTGCCATCAAATGATTTTGTAGTGTTATTCAGCTTTATTTTTGTGCTTGCTTTTACAACTGATGAGGATTTAAAGTAATTTTGTATTAGCCTCTCTTCTCATGAACCAGTCACTGTTGTCAGTGTATCTCAAGGTATTTAAAAATGCTAAAAATTCTTGATAGTTTTAATGCTGAAAAACTTCCCATTATGCTTTTCCCAGACCAGCAAATATCTGATACAAACAATTTATTGCCAACTTTAGTCTATGTTTATTCAAACATAAACATAAGTAAAATAAATAATATTTATTTATAGTAATATAAATAAACATTGGTAACTGGTAAGTACAGAATCATCTATAGCTGTGTGATGTGTTGTTTTAGGAACAGAGCATTGGGGGGAGAAACATTTCTAATTTTTTAGTTATGTGAATATAAAATATAAATGATTGTATCATTATACATGCACTGTTTTTTAATATGTTTTGTTAATGCTGATACAGTAAAGCCTGAGGATTTATACTTAAAGTTGTCAGTTAATGAGAATTTCAGCTCACTTCTCTACTGTACTAAACTGCAGTTGTATGAATCCAAAAAATACTGTCTACCCAAAGGAGGGCTATAAGAGTTATTTTGGTTTTGATCCAGAGCCATGATATGTGATAATTTATGAATCAATTGACCCATGCAGAGAGTCATATTTAAGGGAAATAAGGTGCTATACAAAGTTGCTAGAAAATAATCTACAAGTAAATCCAGTTATAGATATTAATTTAATAATTTTATCACTATCTCTCTCTATAATTCCTTCACAGATGGAAAATAAAAACACTTCCCAGAGGAAAAAGAAACATGCAATAAATAAGTACATGTATACAATTGGCTTTCTTGTCCTGTGAGTATAACATTGAAGGTTAGGACAAAATGACAACAAACGGGTATAAAATGGGGACATAAATTTGACTTATTCCAAAGTAAATCCCCCAAAAAGTTAGCCCGTGAGACAATTTTAAATTAGGCTTTTACAGAGTTTAGGGAAAAGTTCCTAAAATAAAAGAGCAGTTAACCACGAAACATAAAAATAAAATTGAGCTTTTAAAGCAAGTTTCTCAGTGATTTTCAGGACATGCTGAAAAACGCAGTTTCCTTCTGCCAAAACAGCAGCAGCATAACAGAGTGCATAAATGACCTGCTTAGAGATTGTAAAATGGGACTCAGATCCATTAAAGCAGAGTATTAAAAAGTCAAGAGTTCTCTTCTGTTTTTGGAGCTGATTGCATGCATCCAGTGTTCTTTTTGCTGTGCTAAAAAAGTTCAAAAGCAGTCCTTTTTTGAACATAGATGAAAAGCTTCTTAAGTGTTAATGCTTCTTTTTGTCTCTTTCCTCTCCCACAGTCACAGCATTGCTGAGGAAGTTGAAGCAGCAGTCCAGGGAGAGCGTAGAAGACAAGAGGCCCAAACTGCTGAAAGCCCTCAAAGAGGTATGTAGTGCTTTGTAGTGCTTTTCCTGGCAACCAAAGATGTAGCTCTTTTGTCACAGTAAAATGTTTTCTTTTCGGTTAGTTGTAATAATAGTAGTAATTCATTCCTAATTTTCATTCATTTCAAAATCCATTGGCATAGCATGGATTTGCAGGCCTGTATATAACAGCAAACAGGATTTTTACACACACTGTTTGGGGAAAAAATCATTTAACCTTGTCCTCAGCATCTGCGACTAAACCAGAGTAAACATTTAATATTTTAAGACATAAGATAAATAAAATTAATTCTATGTTCTAATTGCCAGAGAATCAAGGGATATTTTTATTACACTAAATAGTAATAAAAAATCAGACTTTTACACGCATTTCTATTGTATTTGTAAGTAAACTATATAACATCATTATGCAGCTGTTGATGAGCACTCCAGAAGAGAAATTAAATTTACAATTGAATGAGAGTCATTTGTTGGAAATGTTGTGTAAATAAAACTGCATGTTGACTCACACTGTTAAGGAAATCTGACATCAGCCGCCACTGGTTAAAACGTACCCTACCCTCAACCCTACCCACCTCTGATTAGACATAAAGAGATCATATGTTTATAGTGAAGCATGGTAATTTTTTCCATATCATGACGTCTCAGAGATGATTAAGACTTTGCAATTTATTGCAGACTGAGTTAGTTATGAATCAGACTCATTGTTAACTTCCTGTTGCTGTAAATGCTCAGTTGATGACTCAACATTTATTGATACCAAGCTCAATAAAGTTCCCACTCACTGTTTATTACAGTTTGAGTATTATTTGATTTGAATCATAGTTGCAGTAATCAATCTTAATCATTAATCATCTTGTTCTAACTAACACTGAGTCTTTATTACCAGCTTGGAGACTTTTACCTGGAGCTTCACTGGGACTTCCAGAGTTGGGGTAAGTTAAACATCAGTTCCACTGTTCCAAAGCAAAATTATCCATTCCCCTCAAACATTATGTTACATTTCAACCACAAAATCCTGACAATAGTCTGCATTTTTATTCACTTTACCTTCAGAAATCACCCACCTAATAAACTCTCTATAGTAGTGAATCGCTATAAAGATGTTCTGTAAAGGCCTCTGGGGTTTGTAAGAGAACGTTAGTGCACAGACACTCAAAGAAGACAAAGTAACACACTTGAGAATCAAGCGTCTCACAAAGCATTGTTCAATACCCTGTTTGGAAAAGGTGAAAATATAGCGCAACTGCAAATCTACCAAATCATCTCTGTTCACTTACTTTGACAAAACATGGAAGAAGACCATTAATCAAAGGAGCAATGAAGAGGACTGTGCAAACCTAGAATTTTTTGACAGTACAACTATTTTAACCATGCACTCCAGAAATTTGATTTTGTAAAAAAAAAAGACAAAAAAAAAAACTTGTCCTAGAAGTAGTTTTGGTCATGATGCAAAAATGAAACTTTTTGGTGTAAAACCAAAGTGTGTTCTGAAAAATTAACACTGTAGATCTCTTTTAAAACATCACTCTCTCCATCAGCATTGTGGTGGAAGCACAATGCTGCTTTGATGTAATGATTAGGATGATCAGAAGTCAACAGTCCAGACCTAAATCCAATTGAGAAGCTGTGGTAAGATGTGGAAATGTATGTTCACAGATAACACCCATCTAATCTGACTGAACTTGACATATTTTGCAATAAATAAAAAGTGACAGAAATTTCAGTTTATATGCTGTATGTGGAAAACTGGAAGACATACCCCCAAAGCAGTAGCAGCTGTTTTTCTAGAAGAAAGATAGTTCTACAAAGAGTAAAATTACATTTGGTGAATACAAAAGTGCACCACACTTTTCAGATTTTTATTTGTAAAACAAAACAAAAAACAAAAAATGACAAACCAATGTATCATTGTCCCTCAACTTCACCATTATGAGTTACTTTGTGTTGGTTTATCACACAAAATTCAAAAAATACATTGAGGTTTGTGGTTACAGCATGTCAAAACAAAGAGCTTGTAGAGCAGCAGTTTAATTGAATTTTGTAAATGACCCTAACAGTTAAATCAGATGTAGCCTGATTTAACATTTGAGTCAGACTGATGTGAAACGTATTAAGGAATCGATTGGTTTATCAGTTCAGTGACTTCCTTCCCATGCTATTTGGAGAAGGGCCACCGGGACACTTCTCTTCCAGCTGGACATGAACAGACACGTCCTCTTTAAAGTGGTTGTCCAAGATAAGACAGTTGTTATTTGTAATTTCAAGTATTATTAATGTTGGATCTCTGATGAAAGTCAAAGTAAGAAAAATGTTTATTCTGGCCAAAGAGTAAGTATTAGCCAGAGTAAGCCAAGGGTAAATGCTCAATCTTTGTTTACTCTGGAGTAAACATTACTGCTGGGCATGTTTGTAATTCTGTAAATAATTGAAAAAGCGAAAAAGAGTAAATATTCATGCATTTTAGAAACTGAATTTAGTTTTCATCACGTCCATGGATCTGAACTTTACAGAAAATGTATTTCTCCCTTTTTGACTCTAAACAGCCACAGCTATTTTTTCTACTTTTCACTTCACACATATTTGCAGTTTTTCTTTATTTGTTAACTGTCTTCAGATTTGTAGAACAATGCAGGAAACTCACGGAAAATTTTTGGGACATAAAAATACTAAGTTGTACAAGTGCATTTTATTGCCACTGTAGATAACACTAGCTGCACATCTACACACTTTTGTTACTTTAAAATTCATTTTCCCTTTAATTATTTGCAATCTTTGTCAATTGGGGATTAGTTGAAATGTTTCACATGTGCTCTCTGTGTCTCTTCATGTTGCAGTGCCTTTGCTGTCCAGAATCCTTCCATCAGATGCGTGCAAGATTTACAAGCATGGCATCAACATCAGGTGAATCTTCTAAAAAAAGCACTTGAGGAAAGTTTTTTTAGTAAAATGAGTGAAGTGAACTTTAGAACTTCTACGTACTGCTCTCAACAACTGCTCTTCCCCCTCTGCTTCCTATTTGTGCTCGTCAAGTCAGTTTTGTGAACTAGAGTGTGAAATCATATCCTGCCTCGGAGAAAAGTGAAAAGCACAGCTTCCGAGTACAGATCTGTAACTTCTCTTTCTGTTTGAGTCAAAGCCTTGTAGATGGAGTTATTGTGCTGTGTAGCTCACTCACTAAAAATGCCAGCAAAAAGTCTTCAAACTGACACACGCTGACAGTCACAGTAAAGAATCTTCAGTGGGAATCCATATCACTTCATTGGCTTTTGGGCAAAAACCTAAAGCTGTTGGGGCAAAGCTTGTGTATCTGTGACATGTAGTTACACTCTTATTAGATACTTTTAAGGTTATGAAAATCAGAACTCCTCCTTTATCCAGAATATAAACATGAGCCTCTACATTTTAGTGCCATAACCTATCACCTAAACCCATTTGAAGTATGAATTTGAGTTATTCTGTCAGTGTGCTTTTCCCGTAAGAGCTAACCTTGATGTGGAGCTTCTCATTATCATCTGAAACTGCTCCTGGCTGCCTAATTTGGTATTCAAAATGCCCTTTCATTATTCTGGGGATTTAGAAATGGAAAAGAGATACTGAGAGGGTGAAAGGAGAGAGGGGGAAAAAAACTGTCACACCAAGTTCATTTGCATTTTGTTGCTACAGCATGTCACACTTTTCATACTTACTCATGGCATCCTCCACTGCGCTGGCTGGTGTTCACATGCAGATCAGTTATTCTCTTTGCTGTCGTGCTTCTGTTGAAAGCTGCAGACTTTGACAGCACACACAGACAAACAAGCACACACATAAGGGGTTCAAAGTTCATTTTTGATCTCCCATGGCAGTGATTAACATCCAGAACCCCTAATGCCTGATAGCAAATATGAAACATTTCTATACCTCATAGTATTAACACTGTACTTTCTACTGGTTTTATTTAGTCAATAAGTTTTTCAAGTGAGTTCTTTGGTTGTCATGTTGGAATTTATTTCAACATCACGCCCCTCACTTTTTTAAATAAACCTTATTTTTTGTCTCTTTAAATGTAATTTGTGGTTATAGGTTGGACACGACCCTGATAGACTTTACTGATATGAAATGCCAGCGGGGAGACCTCAGTTTCATCTTCAACGGCAATGCTATCCCCTCTGAGTCATTTGTTGTTCTGGACAATGAACAGAAGGTCTACCAGCGAATACACCATGAGGTGAGTGAGATCTGGTGGTTCCCAAACCTGTCATGTTCATTGTAACAAACACAAATGAGCTGCGTTTGGGAAAAACGCAGTCGTGTATCTTAATGGATTAGAATCCAATTAAGAAGTACATTTATTTATTATTCAATTTAAAATCTTGCTCTCACTCACGAAACAAATTCATTACACATAGACGTGTATTCCAACCACTCAATTTTGTCAATTTTGATTATTACTTCTTTCTACAGACACAAAATGTGTCTCTTTGAGGTGTGTAAACCTCAAAAAGCATTTGCCAAAGAAGCTTTTTGTTCACAGAGAACTGTATCCAAGCATACTATTGGAAAATTTAGTGGAAGAAAAATTTTGGTTAAAAATGTGCCCAAGAAACAAGAATATTGTTAAGAGGATTGTGAAGCAAAGCCTATCCAAGACTCAATTTGGTTAGGACAGGATGAATGTCCTACATGAGTCTAAGAAAGAAAAAAAAATCTCATAATGTTAGCAAATAAAAACAAACAAACAAACAAAAAAACATTGCTTTTATGATGCTGCCCAGAGCAAGCTGAAGGACCACTGCAGGAAATCAAAGTTTCAAGAGCTACTGAACAGACATAAGAACATGGGCTGCAAAAGTTGCAACTCTTCTGTTAAGCATCTCCTCAATAAGAAACAATATCAGAAGCATTATACCTGGGATGGGGAGAAAATCTATTGAACTGTTGCTTTGTGACCAAAAGTCATATTTTAATATTTAAGTACATTTTGTGTTTTATGTGGAAATTAAAAATCCCAAAATCTAGAGGAAGTGTGAAGAGGCACAGCATTCAAGTTACTCAAAGTCCAGTGTCTACAGTCTCTGATGATTTCTTCTGCTCGTGTATTTCCACTGAATCAGTACCTCCTATAATTACACTATGCTTGAATTACAAGGAAACCGGCTGGTTCTCAACCCCTCAGGAGATCTATGACATATTTTCTATAGGAAGATGAAACTAGACGCTTACAATGCAGACGAGATGAAGGCTGTTATTAAAGTTATGTGGGCTTGCTGAACACTTCAGGTTGATCACCTCAGTGCCACTCTGCAATTATTCATGAAAAAGGATCTCCAACTTGAGTGAAAATATGTGGAGATACCTTTCAGTAAAAATAAAAAAAATGAAAATATTTTTATTGGACTTAAATAATATTCAGTTTGTGTTTTCATAAACTGTTAGCCATTATCATCAAAATGAACAGAAAGAAACACTTGAAAAAAATAGATGTAATGTAGAATAAATTTAAAAAATTGTAATTGAATTAAAAAAAGAATATTGAAATCAATTAACTTTTCTCTGCTATTCTAATCAGAACAAATTTCTCTTATTTTAGGTCATTTAGAATCACCAGAATTCCCAAGAATGAATGAATAGGTCAGATTTATTTTTGGTAGCATTGCCGTTGAACTGCATGACTTCGGTCAAATCTTTTGGAGTTCCTTCCTCAAGCTTCTCATAATAGTTTACTGGAGCTCTGGTCCATTCTTCCTAACAGAACGGGCAGAAATCAGTGACCGGTAAGATGATTGACCATTCCCATTATTGTCATGCTTGAGTATTATTTATTGAACGGATGAACGCAGCACCTTCTCATTGTATCAAACCAGAAAGCAATGTGTTTGAGGGGTGGGCTTAATATGCCTCCATAGGAATGTCTCCAATTAAGTCAGTTATCTGAATTAACCTATCGGAAGTTTCCAAATTCATGACATCATCATCTGAGCTTTTTTCTCGTTTGTTTAAAGAAATGGTAATAATTCTCCATGTAAATTTCTGATTTGAAGAATTCATTAATAAATCTTAGACATATTATTTCTCTCATTATTGTGGCACTAAGCAAATATGAATCATTTTAGTATTTCTATCTGACCTAAAATAAGACAAGTAGCCTAACATTTCAGCTGTATTTGTCTCAATGTTTGTATGTGTCTGTATGTAATCTCCTGGTGTAAGTATTTATGTCCCTCTGTTCTGTCTTCATAGGAGTCAGAGATGGAGACCGAAGAGGAGGTGGACATTTTGATGAGCAGTGACGTTTACTCTGCCACACTTTCCACCAAGTCCATCACTTTCTCCAGGGCGCAGACTGGATGGCTTTTCAGAGAGGACAAGACGGTAGGTGTTGGTTATTATGAGGTTTTTAAATTTCACACAGACTTACCTTTTAATAGATTGTTCTCAAGCTCATGAAGATCTACTTGGCCAATCTCTGGAATTGTGTCTGTTTCCACAACTGGCAAAATGGAAATTTGATTATTGTTTGAAATAAGGTTCCTGAGCTGCTCTCCTTTCACAGTATTATGTAAATTATTGAATCTTATTTTAATAACAAACTTTCATATTTCCTGTGGTGTTTTGTATTCATAGTTTCAATGTATAAATCACCCCGGTGACCATTTTTTTATATGTGTAGTTTCTTTCTGTCATCCAGCAATGTTAATCTATTGAGTCAAGTCAAAAAAGGCTTTTTATAAGTAATGTTCATATATTGATGTCCAGTCTTGTTTTTATTTGCCTGAGACCCACACAGCATCTTGATTGGATTAGGATGCTCAATTTGCCATTTCAGGCCAGAAATCCTCATTTTCTTCTTCTCAACCAATTTCTGGTGGTTTTTCCTGATATGTTTTGGGTCATTGTTATGTTTCATTTTTAGTTTTTTCACAAATGGTCTCATATTTTCCTTAAGTAACATCTCATACATAGTAGAGTTTTTGATGGTGAGCTAACCAGGTCTTGCTGCAGCAAAATATCCGTGAATTATGTTACTTCCACCTCCATACTTCACAATTAGTTTGAGGTACATTTCTTGAAATGCTTTATGCATTCATGCCAAACAAGTCCTCTACTCCGGTGTCCATTGTTTCATTTTAAACTCATCTCACAAAAGACTGTTGTTCTAGAGGCCTGACCTTTGTCTCTGGTCTTTCTGGCAAACTTTTGTTCTGTCTTCACTGTTTTCAGAGATTTTCTCCTGGCACATTTCCCATAAAATGTGCCAAGTCAAACTATTGCAATCTCTTTGTGATTGTACAGGCATGTAATTTCACATCAACAGAAGGAAGACCTTGCTGTAGGTCACCACAAAGATATGTTAGGGGATTTGTTATAGCTTCTGTCCTAGGAATGAATTTCCTGTTGGCAGTTTGTTTTTAGTGTTGATTATTTTCCCTGACAGTGGAATGATTTCATTTATTTTTGTGGCCTCCTTAAATCCTTCACCACATATAAAGAGATGTTTACATCATCTTTCTGAAGACCGCAGACAGACCTTTCTATCTCGGCATGGTGTTTAGTCTCTCGTCAAAAGTCTAAATGTCTGAAGTTAAACTGGATAAACTGGACGGTCATTCTGGTGAATAATGAGGTTCTAATCATGTCACACGATGTGATACGATTAGATATAGTTTTAGCGCTTTTAAACGGGGTGTCTTAATTTATTTTTCACCAGAGGTTACATTATTTAACTTCATTCTAATAAATATTTAATGATCTTTTCTTCAGTTGTTTGTTTTGTTATACTACTCAACTCTCACAGTATTGTTATCCTTTTTGTTCAATATTTCTAAGTCCATATACGTTAGAAAGTCACAGGCTTTTATAGTATGTTATATTTTTTTCACATGATCTTAAGCTATTTGCTTTTACAATGTGATTACTTTGTGCTATTCTGACCCGAATACTCATATTTTCCTGCTGTATTTTTGAAACCCGGCCAGAAATAGAGTAAATAAATGAGAGGACCACAGGTGATGGGCCTGAGGTCAAAAACAACAAAGATGGGGCAGGAAGACAGAGGCGGGGAATGAGATTGGGAGTATCGTATTCTGTCTTCCTAATCTTTTGTTCTTTGAACTTCTGTTTAGAGAGGAAATTGGTGATAGAGGAGGCAGACTGATCTGTTTAATTCTCTCTCCAGGAGCGCGTGGGAAACTTCTTGGCAGATTTCTATTCTGTGAACGGCCTGGTGCTGGAGTCCAGAAAGAGACGAGAGCATTTGAGTGAGGAGGACATCTTGAGGAATAAAGCTATTATGGAGAGTCTGAGCAAAGGAGGACACCTCATTGAGCAGAACTTTGAGGTGACACTACGTGTTGTTTGGATCTTTTTAGACCATTACTCTCTATTGTCCCTTAATCTTTGCTACATTTTGTTTGCACTACATAAGTATGAAATGTTTCTGGTAACAAAGTGAAGTATGTGGTTCACTGAAAAAGTAGTCTGCAATTGGATGGAAAGGTTGGGGTTGCAACTTTGTCCCCTGCCACATTTCAGTGATGCCTTGGGCAAGGCACTCAACCTCAACCTTTGAATGTCTGTGACATTATTACACAGAAATATAAATCCTATTTACTTGTACTTTCAGCGTAACCATCAGCCCAGTCTTGACACTGTATTGTCCCGCTGGACCCTTGGGGTAGGACCTGCGTCTCTCAGACTAAATAAGTCACAATATCTCACTGCTATTTGCATTTGGTGATAAAGCCTGTGGAAATGGCATGGATTTCCTGATGGACTTTGTTCAGAAATTTTGCATGACTTATTGAAAAATTCCTACCTGCTTTTGGGGAAAATGATTCTTTGATGTCCTGTTTGTCAGCCACCCGGCCTGCATTTTATACCCACTTCTGCCACCTTGTGGTGAAAGAATTAAAACTACACCTTCCCTCATGACGTCCCCTCACTGTCGTATGTTCCAGTTTGCTTAGCAAGCTGTTGTCTGAACTCGACATTGATCTGGTCACACAGGAAAGACAAAGCCTCTCAACACCCACTGGATGCCTTTAAACTGCTTTTTTTTTTTTGTTCTTGTGCACTCTCTCTTGTTCTGTGGTAGGCTTTGTTTTTTCACATTGCTCTCTGTTGTCATCGAGTCCATTTACAGAACTATCAACGCGAAAAGCCAGGGTGACAGTGGACCTTCGCTCTACTTTAGGAATAGTTCACCTTTGATTTCAGCGAATAGGGCTACAACTGATGTTCTAACAGTTGCGTGAGAGAACATCTGTGGGCTCAAGCAATTGTGCAATACCTTGAAACTAAGCGTGACAGTATTAATGACATGAGGGATCTTTTTAAAAAAAAGAACAAAGAAAAAGTCAGAGGCCAGGGGGATTGGCGCCCCAGTAGTTTCGGTTCTGAGCAGCTTTTGTGTTCTCTGTTCTCGTCACAACAACGTGCCTGGACTCGTACACAGCGACATTCAGGAAAAACACATCTGTAAATCTAAGGTTGCTTTTCTTGGTTCTGTTTCACAAGTTGTTCAACTTTCTCTCGGGACATTAATATGGCCTTTCATTGTTCCAGAGTATTCTCTTCTTGTTGCTTTACCACTGCTTGAAGGAGTGTTCAAGACTGTTACTCAAATGGAGTAACAGTCAAACATTTTCATACATGAACATTGGCAAGAAGGAGTTAATTCCGCGAGAATGTCAATTTTAGGATTAACGGGATGGCACTTGTCCCAGATCCGGTTCAGGGACAGTCAGTACAAGCTGTCCAATCCTAAAATAAACTGAAACTGAAGAAGAACACTTTTTAAAGAAAGCTGAACAGAGATTCCTCTCTTCGGGAAAGATGATTTAGCATGAAAAGAAAATTCCTGCATGCTTTTCATGACTTTCTTTCCATGCTGCTTTGGCGGTAGGAAGTGTTGCCTTTGGGGGGGTAAAATTAATCAGTGGAAGAGATCCAATGTGCCTACCTGCAGCAGCAATATGTTTTACACCGTCTCACATGTCAAGTTCCCTTCACTACAGTTGAATGGTGCACCAACAGTGCCTGTAATCACTCTGCTCCCTGTCCTGTTCATCAAATAATCACAAACATATATACATTTTGTGCTGCTTTTATGTTGTAGACCAATACATCATAGTTCATAATTGTGATAGGAGAGAAAAATGATGCATGATTTTTTAAAATTTAAAGGAAAAATATTAATAATCGAGCACTTTTCAAAACATCTGTCATAAAGAGCTTTGTGACAGATAAAATCAAAATAAAATGCAGCATTAGTAAGAGTATTATAGGATACTCACAGACATTCACATATGCAAACATTAAATGCAATCCAGTTAAAAAAAAGTTAACATTTTAATGGAAAGACTCTTCCATAGGTTCAGAACCACCACAAAGCAGGATCATCTAGTGATGTAATAAGAGCATCTTGATCAAATGAGTAAATCTAACGGGTTTAAAGGGCTAGAATAAAAATCAGAACAGTATGATGTGCATTTATGTTCAGCTTGTCCTGAATCAACACTTTGATGAAGAATCAGTCACTTCATTTACATCTGCAGCTCATTTGGGGTGTGTCCTCTGTACACACTACCGGAGAGGACAGAAGCCCTCTGACGAAAATATTTGTCAGTTGTTTAATTGTGAACAAAACGTTCCCACAATTTAGGAGGATTCTCTTTAATTGGGGGAACAAATTTAAGAGAAGCTTTCTTAGCGGATCATATAAATAAAATATTTAAATAACTACACACTAAAATCTGATTGTTGGTATTTTTGAAGACAACCATACTGTGTTGAACATTTTTTCAGGTATCCCCACAATCCTGGGGACTGCATTGTCTTAAAGTCCTAGCAACTGCACTGGTAGTCCGAATGTAAACCAGACTCAATGGAGCAATCAGATTACAAGCAAACTGACAATATGTATAAAGGTGAACCACAGCCTACTTATTGGGTAATTATGTCACATAATCAGTTCACTTGTCAGTACCTGAGATAAGGATTTCAAAAGCCTGGTTCCTCAGGAAGGAACTGATCTTGTGATGAATTTAGCTCCAGATCTTTTACCTGCATGAATGCAGAATTATGAAATAACATTAGCAATTCTCCCATTGTCTGAACAGAAGCTATGAAGCTAATTATTGGCTTGCAGGCTTGCATTAAAAATAATTCTTGACGATTATAGTCCCCCCAGGAGTGCAAACCTCAACTCAGTGTTAATGTCATTAGGAGTACCTAATAAAAACAAGTTTGTGGTAATATTAATACTGCAAGGACTGCTTAATAGAGTATTTGTTGACTTTTTCTTAATCATTCATTCTTGCCTTGCATTCCAGTAATATGTTCAGTAAAAAAGTGGAGAAAACACTAAAAGGTCACATAGTGTTTTGACATGTTAATGTGGATTTAACTATCTGGACTTATCATAATTGCAATATTCAACAGTATCTTCATAACATGACTTCTTGGTATTGTACATCCAAACTGTAAATACTTGCAAATAACTTTAGCTTTCCTGTCCATTTTAGGAAAATAGATACATTTAAATAAAATTTTACTTCTTTGACTTCTATTTTGTTTTGGTTACTTCCATGGCAATAATTTTTAAGTTCACCCTTCTCTTTGTTCCTTTTAGCCAACGAGAAGGCAGTCTTTAACCCCCCCGTTACCCAACACTATTTCCTGGGAGGAATACATCACTGCAGACAATGGAAGGTAAGTGTCTAAAACTTGCTTCATGAAAGATAAGTCTACATAATCAACATATGAAGTATTTTTAATTGTTACATGATGCCATATTTCAAGATGTCGTCTTGTGTGCTGCATCTCTCTCCACAGAGCACCTCATTTAGGAAGGGAGCTGGTCTGTAAAGAGAGCAAGAAAAACTTCAAAGCCACGATAGCCATGAGTCAAGACTTTCCTCTGGGCATTGAATCGTGAGTGTCTATTTTCAGAGGCCCTCTAGTCAGTCATTACATAAATTAGTGATGAAAATTTGACTTCTCCAGTGATGCTGAGAAGTTTACGAAATCTTCATGGGCGTTTATGACATATTGTCCAAGTTGAACCATATGATCCCCGTTAGATTAAATGAAATTGGCTTAAATATTCTGGAATGACCCAGGAAGCACCAAGGCTCAAGCCTGGCAGACGCAGGCGCATCATTGCCACTGTGCACAGTGAAGCAAGTTAAGCAAAAGCCCAGAATGAGAGGAAAGGAAGAGGTACTGTTTCAGAGTAATCACTTTCAAGTTTTACTGGAATCTGCAGCATGGGCAAGATTTCACGTCTCATGGTCTGATGAGAGGAACTGAATTAAACTTAAACCTCAATTAGAAGAAGAATGAAGAATCAAGATGAGCTTATTAGTCATAAAAACACGACACCAAGGGTGTAACTTTGTGCTGCAAGTTGGTGGGGACGATGAGGAGGGGTTGAGGGCCTTGATGTACCCACAGTTACTGGGAGACCTTTTCTCTTTTAGTGCTAAGAATAATGCCAAAACTTGCATGTGAATGGCATACAGTCTTATTGAATAAATTAGGATATGCGTCCTGATCAAGCTTGTCAGATTAACAGCACCTTTCGAAAATAACCTTTTTGCAGGTATCAAACATACTACAAAATATAAATATGTTAAAACATCTAATTAATCTATATAATGTTTTTCACTTGGTGATGGAACTACTAACAAAGAAACCTTTCGGTCATATTCTCATTTATGGAATGAGTCTGTATTTGCTGAGTATATTTGCTTTAATATAGCAAATATGAAAGACGCAAAAACCTTTTTTGGGTCTGGTTGGGGCATTTGGTTATTAGAGTGACCACCAAAGTTACTATATTCAATAAAATGTGGCTTAAAGCTGAGATGCAGATGTGTGGATATGTAAAATATATGTTATCTCTGCGTATAAATCTATAGTTTGGTTTCTATCAGTTCTGTAAAGATACAAGAGGGAACAAAGCGAATTTGTCTTTTATGTTGACTAATAATTTAATTTTACTTAATTGTCACTGTAGGAGCCATGGTTTAAAATTGAACAAACTTTATGCTTTATAAAATATTTCAACCTATTTGATGATTATTCTAAATATTGCCACATCCAAACATGCAAATAGTTTTTTCTACAAAATGTAGAAAAACAGGTGATTGTCTTTTTTCTCTCATGGCAACTGATAACAACAGCTCGGTCAAGTGCATCAAGAATTAACACTAAAAAACCACAAAACATTTCCCACTCCAAAGTGAAAACACCAAAGTGTTCACCTGAACACTTGCCGTGGTCGATGAACTAACTTAAAACACCTGCACTCCGGATAAATCACTCCTTATTTTGTGTTACCGTAATTGAACTCAAATACACCTAACTGCGCAGCAAGGGTACATGTTGTTAAAAGTTAATCGAGCGTAGCTAACCTACTCTCCACCTTCTTATATATTTTTAATTAAAGCTTTTAATTAAAAATATAGACTTGTGAAAAGCTTCACAGGTCTTGTTATCTTGCCCAAAGAGACAAGATAACAAGACCGTAACAAGACCGCTAATCAACTTCCCTTCAAGTCTTCAACTGGAAAACCACTTTAAGTGAGCTCTGTCTGTCCTTAAGAGACAAATATGCAAGGATTTTGTTCATGGCTACCAATCAAATAACTGAAAACCTAAAAATATGACAACATTCATGTTGATCTGGAGTGCATGTAAAGGTCTAACCTGCACTGCATATTCGCTCTTGATAAAGTTAAATCTGTGACAATGATTGCTTTTGCCCTCCTTCAGGTTACTGAATGTCCTGGAGGTGATTGCACCCTTCAAGCACTTTAATAAACTCAGGGAGTTTGTTCAGATGAAGCTCCCCCCTGGCTTTCCTGTCAAACTAGGTAAGGAGACACTCACTGCAGACCAGATCTCTGTGGTTTGGGGAAATATTTCCATTTCACTCAGTGACTTGTGTTTTTGTGGTTTCTTGCAGACATCCCCGTCTTTCCTACTATTACAGCCACGGTCACGTTTCAGGAGTTTCGCTACGACGAGTTCGATGAATCCATTTTTACCATTCCCACTGAGTACAAAGAAGACCCAAGCCGCTTCCCGGACCTTTAACCTCTCGCCTTGGTTTTTAATCCTACAAAACACACCTTTTATGAATGGGAACCCCTGTCACCATGCTCAGACTCTGAACACAGACTGTAGAGCAGCAGGATGAAAAGACACACAGGATCAACTCTGCAGAGGAGTTGACCTCAGTCGATGTGAACATAAGCTGAGGTGATTCTTACTCGAACCTCCAAATCTGACACAGTGAAGCAGGAAGTGTAGGTAACTGAGATTTTTCATCAAAGGGCATTGAAGTGAAAAAAATAGCAGCAGAGCAGGGGGGGCTTTATTTATAAGAGGTAAGAGTAGAATAAAGAACTACCAGTTCAGTTGATGCTTTGTATTTAAATCTGTGTTGTTTTTAAAGGGATTGTGTCTAACTGACATGTAGTGACGCACTGATAATACTGTGTGAGATGCTTTTATGGGAAGTCTGCTCAGAGTTCATCTTGGGTTCTTTTATTATTTGAGCACAGTGGACAAACTATCTCGAAATGCAAAAAACCTTTCAAGTTTTTTTCTGTTTATTGTTGATACAAAGAGTAAAATCATATACTGCTGGAACCAGATATTTATATACATCAATAAAAGAAACATGTTACTGACACTCTCTTCTAGTTTTAGATCTAGTGGGATTACCAAAATTATTTCTGCAGTTTTGTTTTTCTCTTTTATTTGTTTTTGGGTTTTTTTCCTTGCAAAAAGTTTCCATGTATTAAAACTGTATGACTTGAGTTAAGCTGGTTTCAATTGGTGTCTTGCTCACAGGTGATTGTAGGACAGAATGGGAAATGGTCCATTTGTTCTGGGATTTACACGCACATTTCAAACCAAAACACATACTTGTCTGTAATTCCCTTCCTAATTTTATGTGATTTTTCATGATATCACACAACATGGGATTAGTTTGAGGTGTTGACATAAAATACATTCACAAGTGAGCCTTCAGTTAACTATTAAAAGCCTAAAAAAGCATCACCTGGGCTAACCATAATTATTAAAAAGGAATTGTCGTATGTAAATGATGCAAGTAATCAAAATTCATTCAATTAATTTTATTTGTATAGCACACTTCAGCAACAAGGCAGTTCAAAGTGCTTTTTTTTAATAAAAACACATAAAAAAAAGTCATAAAAACAATATAATCACTAATTGAGAACAAATTCCAGAAGCTGAATGCTGCTTCTCCATGTTTGGTTCTGGTTCTGGGGATGCAGAGCAGAACCAGAACCAGAAGACCAAAGTGGTTTGGAGGGTTGATAGAGCAACAGCAGATCTTTAATGTATTTTGATGCTAAGCTGTTCCTTATTATTCTGGTGTTTAGCAAATAGAAATATTTTTGCTGTCCTAACTGATTTAAAACAGATATATTTTTGGGGGGGTCTTTTCATACAGTGTATGTAAATGTCTGGTTTCCACTTGAAAATTATTGAAATGCTTAATCAATCACTTCCACCAATCACTGATAACATATTTACTGGATCAAAAGACATGCAATGGCAATTGTACATTTGGGAAAATAAGTTTAGTTTTTGCTTTTTGTTGTTTTTTAGGTCAAAATCAGCTTTTTAAAAAAAATTATTCCTCCTTTGCACATGGCAAAAATGTGTAATTGTTTGTGTTGAGCAAAGATTTTCACAAGCATGGAGTCGTATCACTCTACACTTGGTCACTATTGGTCTCTAGGACAGGTCTTCAGTTTAAAGACTCTTGTTTTGTGAGGTCAAACTTCCAGTTTAGCTTGTGAAAGATGAAAGTTGCAGCCGCAGATCGTCACGGTACATCAGTCTCAATAAGCAGCAGTGAGTCTTAAGTTGTGCTTATTAAACCTTTTGTTTTTCATTTCTGTTCAAGCAGATTCTCTATGGACAACAGAGATTTTAAGGTTTTAATTATTACAGCATACCTGCAGAGTTAACACATAGAGCCAGGGTTTTTTTCTCTGTGCAGTGTATTTGTTTGGTTTTGGGTGTTGGTTTGTCTTTTTTAATTCTATGAACTGACAAGAGAGTAATTTCATTTTTTTATGTAGCATCCGGGCTTATCTCAAACTTATTGGGTTGTAAGTTGTGGTACATTTTTCTACGTACATTTGTTTAAATGAGCAGTAATCTCTGAATTGTTTGATAATCGTTTGATATGTTTGGAAGAATTTATTTGAGGTTGTATTCAAAAAAAACAAAAAAGCACAAAACACCTGGAAATCATCTGAAAAGATGAAACAAAGAAACTGAACTGTTCTTGTTCATAAAAACTGGCAACTACAGGATATTCCTGTTGTACAGGTGGATCAGTCTTTCAGCAAATATTGCTTTTATTTAGTTCGTTTTCTTTGTTTCATGACGTTCCAAACTGCTTTAAGTTCAGCTAGTGGAGGTGTGTCTCTTCTTACATTTCCGTGTTTTATTTGTTAATTTCCTGGCTCCACTTGCTCTAATTTTAAATGTTTTCTATAGGCATTTCTCCATTAAACTACATGTCAGTTGTACAGCTAAAAACTTGTATAAGTCAGCAACACTATTTTCATATAAAATATACTAAAAAATAAAAATTCCTCATATCTGTCTGGACATCATGCCTCTCCACTTTCTTAAGGACAAAACATACATGCTGCTGTTCTATTATTACAAACTTCAGGAAACTACATAAGTCAGTAAAAATATTTTTAATTATTTCATTTTTAATGATATGGTATTGTTGCTACAGGTAAGTTTTTCTTGTTTCTTTGGAAAATATGTACAATAGATGTACATATTTCCTGTAAATATATTTAAAAAATGTTAGATTTTACATGAAGTGTATTTGAATAATTGTTTCTTTGCACTTATTAATCCTTCAGATCATCAAATGCATTTTTGATATCAAAAATATCATGCATAAATACAAAAAAAAAATATTCAGATGATTTTATTTAAGGAAAAAATATTAAACTGGCCTTATGGCACATTTCAACAAAGAACAAACAAAACAAAAGAAACAAGAGTGGCAACATAGAGAATAAAAAGTTATAATTCAGACTAAAATGGATCAATATTTCAGTTATTAGTTAAAGGCAATTCTAAATTTGTTTTGAGCCTTGATTTAAAACAACCCAACTGTGTCAGTAGCAGTTTTCTAGGAGTTTATTCCAGATTAAAGAAGCATCATGCCTGAATGCTGCATTCTGAGATCTTCATTATTTCTATACTGTGTGTCCAGATGTTAAGGTAGGACCATTATTAACCTATAAACATCTGTATGACTTGGTGCAGAACAAAAATGAGCAAGCAACATTAAGTGCAGGTCAGTAGTTTTCTGATGGCAGGTTGGATTTAAGCTGAGCACACCTGACCCCTCTTGTAATAACAGACGTCTGCATGGATCAGTTATTCAGCAACACAATTATTTAGACAGTGCTTTTATTTAAAACCCAGTTTTCATTGTTCCATGGCATTCCTTTGTACAGTAAAGTTTTGCCAGTGTGTTTGTGCCTCTTGACCTGATTCAACATGTATATTTAACAGACATTTCATCCTGACTTCAGCTGCTGCAAACCCAAATTCTTTTCTGAGAATTTATATCAACTGTACAGCAGAAATCCCAACATAGAACATACTACAAAGTAGAAACAGTGGACAATATGCTGCAGCAAAAGCTAAATTGTGTTAGTCAGCTACAGTAATTCAAAAGTACACTTTCAGAAACAACATAATAGATTCATTTTAACTGCAAAAATGTTTTTAGATTATTAAATCAATTATTACTGCTCTGCCTCAAGTGGAGTTGAAGCCACTTTGTTTTGTAATTGTTAAACAATGTTTTGGAGCCAGTTTACACACATCTATATTTCTGGTTAACAGCTTCATGACAGTGCATTAAAGTTCATCTTAACTTTGCCACAGTTTAAAGAAACATGGTGCTGGTTGATAAATGACAACAAGGAAAAGATTTTTAAGTCAAGACAAGTGAGGTGGGGAAAAAAAATCCTACTGAAAATGTTCAATGTTCAGTTTCCGGGAAAAACTACACAGCATTAAAAACATGATCTCCAAACAAATGGCATAAATCATAGTTTAAAAGCCACATTTCATCAGATCTAGGCCCTCTGTCCAAAGATTTTGCTGTTATGGTAAAAACCTGCTAACAGTGATCAGGCACAGATATAATGAGGCCCAGATTAGGAATATCAAAAGAATTCAGTAGATGGTGGCACAGAAAGTTCTTAGTCGCTCATCTCCATGTCCTCCTGATGGCGATCGTCTCCATTTAGTTTGGACCTTTTGGACGATTGACGCTCATCTCGCTCCACGTCCTCCTGATCTTTGGGAGATGACACAGAATCCGATTCGCTCCTCCTCTCGTCTTCCTCCTCCCCTACTTTGTCGCTGTCGTAGCCTTGCTCCTCTTCATCGTAATCCCGTGTAACCTGAAACACCAGCGTCCCGTCACTCAACAAACCTGGGAGGTTTTGTTTGCATATGGAAGCACAGAGGAAGCTAAGTAGCTCCAGCATCTACAGAACAACTTTCAGTCTAGGATATTTTAACATCAGGGCTACATGTGAGAATTCATTTCTGGTCACGTACTTTTACGTCTCCTTTCTCGCTGTCGGATTTGCGGTCCCGGTCTCGTTCCTTGTCTTTGTTTTTCTTTTTCTTGCTGGTGGACCGTTCTCGTTCGTCTCTGGTGTGGTTCCGCTCTTCCCTCCTTTCCCTGTCGCGGTTCTTCTCGCGGTCCTTGTCCTTCTTCTTTTCCTTCTTGTGGCTGTAAAAGTAACACATCCAGCCTGTCAGTCGGCTCGTTGCGATTAGTTATACAGAAAAGACATGAAAACTCACCGGCCGGAGGACGGAGACGGGGAAGGTCGTTTCCTTGGGGACCGGGAAGCAGTGCGACTTCGCCTGCGCCTCCTAAAAGCCGAGCGGGATTGGACTATAGATGAACCACGCAAGATGATGCATGTCTTTCCTCTTAGCAAGACACAGCAACTCACCGACTGATGCTGCGAGACCTCCTGGCACTGCTGTAGCTTTTAGGAGGCGTCTTGGATTTTTTCTTGGATTTTTCTTCTTTTCTCTTGTCCCTGTTAAACACATAAATCATCTAAAAGTGATTCAGTGCTAGCAGACATGGGTTTTGTCATGACAACAGCAGTATCCCAGACATGTGGTCAGTAAGATTTCAGAGAGCTGTGGACCTGGATCTGCTGCGACGGCTTCTGTCCCGAGAGCGAGTTCTCCTCCTCCTCGGACTCTTGGATCGCCGCCGACTCCTTGAATGGGAACTTCGCCTAGATCTGCTGTCTGAACGTCTGTGTAAAATATACATGGGTATTTATTTTAAGTCATTCGAAAATGTCAGTGAAAAGCTCATTTCACTTGATTGTTTTCTTTACCTGTGTTTTGACCGGGACCTCGAGCGTTTGCGGCGTGACCTTGAAGGAGATCGGGAATGTTTGCGCTTGTCATCTTTCTTACCTGCAGGCATTGAGAAGACGAAATAAGTTGAGCAGTACAAATCTAAAACCTAAATAACTGAATATTTTTTACCATTAGGTATTAACCGTAATCACTAAAAGAACAAAATAAACCCCTAAAGTATTCTCAGTGTCTATGTAATCTATGAGTTTCCTTCTTTTGAATTTCAAGCAAATTCATTTCTAATGAGCTACAGCATGGTTTATAAGTTAGAGCACTAAAATTTGAACTCACTTCCAGGTTCGATGGCAGCAGAAATCAGAGACTGGGCCTCTCGGACTCTCTTCATCGCCTCTTCGATCTCCTTGTTGGAGGAATCTGGCTTCAGACCCGGGGCCAGGTTTAATCCGGCTGCCAGCGGGTTCAGTCTGCAAAAACCATTCTTTACACTTAAAAAACATATCTATGACAACAGTAACACTGCGAATTTAGAAAATAGTAGTTTCTTACTTTGGGTCAATAGACTGCATAAGCTTGAGGAAGTCTGCAGAAAAAGCCTGAGAAAGACATGAAAGAGATGATACTTTAGTAAAAGAATTAAATTTTTCCATGTTGGGACTGCAGCTGCAGCAGATTCTTACTTGGGGACTCATGTTGGGCCCCGCAATTCCCATAGCAGCGATTTGGTCCATGCTGGGAGCCCCAAGACCTCCGAACGGGCTTGCTCCTAGCTGCAGTGTCGAACATTCACACACTTAACACCAGTTTTAATAAAAATAATAGTGCAAAGGTGAGATGAAGACTGACCGAGGCCAGAGGATTGGGTGTTGGAAGAAGACCTCCTCCTGGCATCATTCCTGCTACAGCGTTGGCTGGAGCCAGAAGTGACATCGCTTTAGATTCGTCAGGAATGACTCCTGAAGGGAAAAATGAAAAGATCTCAGTTCATACTCGGAGGGGGAAAAACGTCAGCAACACTAAGACAAGACTTTCAGACAAGCCACCTCTGTTTAACTACATTGTAGTTAAAAACATGGAAAATAAAAATCTGCTTTTTGCCTTGTCTGTAAATCTTGATACTTGACTTTTTTTTGTTTTTTGTGAAAGTGTAATTGTGGGATTAGTAGCTATGAGATTAAAAAAAAATAATCACAATACACACTGTGATCAACACTGCCAAGATTTTATCACCTGCACTTGTTTTTTAAGTCATGAACCAAACGTTAGCAAGCACAGCCAGTTGTCCCGCGGGATGTGCTCTCAAATTTCATTATGAACAAGCGACTCGCGCCGGCTGCTTCGCTATAAAGCACACAAAAACATTGAGATACAAAACAAAAAACAAAAAAAAAAAAACAAAGTTCATGATTTAGATGTGGAGACAAAGATACATTTCAACATCACTTCCCATAATTTCTTTTAAAAATACTCAGTTGTTTTATCTTTACTTGTCTCTTTCTGGCATTAGCATTAAAAAATAAACATGGCAACCACATTTCTGTAATGCTACATTAAAACCAAAAGTACGTTGTGCAAAATGCTACACAAACATCATATGTGCTAAACAGTCAAGTTTTAATGCCAGCAATAATGAGAAAATGACATGAAAGATTATGTCCAAAGCTGAAGAGAACCGAACAGTAAAATCAAAGAGAAAATCTTATCAGATGATCATCCATGGCTGTGTAATCTGGAAACAGGCTAATTTCAATAATAAAATATTTCCTTTTTTTAAAAAACAAAAAAACAAAAGAGAGAGAGAGAGAAGGAGAGAGAGAGAGAAAGGGAGGGAGGCAGGGAGAGACATCTGATTTCACACTCATTCACACAGACAGACACTTGAGAAACGGGGTAAGGCTGCGGAGGACAAAACTGTTGGTGGCATTTTCAGCAGGGCCTGGAATATAGGGCTGGCTGAACCAGGAAAAACAACTGTAAAACACAACAACAAAAGAAACACCACTGTTAAACGTTAGAGTGACTCAACTCCATCAGAGCTATATGTCTGGAGAGGGACAGTTTCCAAAAGGCATTTTAAAAGCTACATCAAGCAAAGCTTCAAGACTAAGAACGCCATTTTATTACCAAAGGCAGCACATATGGATATAACAAATATGAATATCAGAGTTACTTTAGCATCTCCACATGGCTGGACTATAACTAGAGATTTCACAGCATGCACACCTGACTGGTCCACTTGATCTTGCTGGGTGATGTCCTGTATATCTTTGTTCTAAATGTGACTGATTTAACATCTTGAAGCAACAACAGATCTAGAGCCAGTGTTTATCATTTTCTATAAATGTTGCTTTGCAGAGAAATTTAACGTCAAATAAATTGTGAAAGTTCATCCAACAACAATTTGTATATCTAACTAGTTTCCTGAGACCAATTAAGTGCTTTTTTAGGTTAAGGCAAGTTGTTGGACCTAATTAAATGTTTTTTTTGTGTGTGTGTGTTTTTAGCTATATAACTCATAGCCATATTTTCTTCACCTTAAGTATCTAACCTGAAAGTTTATGTTAAAATTGTACAAATTAAATGGTAAAATATGTCAAATTTAATAAATCTTACTTTTTCTATGTGAATACTTCAAAAATATCTGCATAAAATAAAACATAGATAAATCTACCTGTCAGTTAAACAATTTTGTTTGAGCTGCATCATCTCTAGATTTATAAGTGTGGCGCAGTCAACAGTGCTTATGATCTACAGTAGATGACTCCTTGAATAAAATATTCTTGATGGTGAAGAATATTTTATTCTACCCAGTTTATCCCTCACTTCTGCATGCCTACTTAGCATAACTCATTATCTGCAAAACAAGGACATTCACTTGAGAAATAACTGCACAGTTATCTTTTAAGAAAGGATGCCTTGAACAGAAAAAAAAAAATCAAGTTAATATTTTACTGCAGGGCAAAAAACCGGAGGGGCTTGTGAATCTGGTGCCTTTATTTATTTTTTTCTAACCGCCTGACGGCAGCAGAGGACCGCTTTCAGTCTGCATGGATGGGGCTGTCTGCAAATGACTTGTCCACTATGAAAACCACAACACAAATAACAGAGAGAGAAGTTTATAGCTGATTGTAAGACAGAGACACAAATGTACATTTCCCTTAAAAAAACTTGAAAAATATATTTTTAAAAAGCTAGTAATGGTTCAGGTTCAGCTAATTTTACCCAGTATACCTTAAACCTGTGATATACAGACAGAGATAGGAATGTGAATGACAAAGGGACAGATCGGACACCCACCTTCAGCAAAAGGAACCACGATCAAGGCCCTGTCCACGAAGACGGTGTTCGTCAGATGCTGGGACACTCCGACAGACTCAGGCTCATTGAATTTTACAAAACAGACACGGGAAGTCACAGGCAAGGGAGAGTCACTGGAAGAAAATACAGACGTGTTGTGCAAAGAATACAAAAATCAGAGAATCAACAAGCCCTTTTCCTCCTTGCTGCCGGGAAAACTGGTTGATAACGGATTTCTGCAAAGTAATCCAGTTTTATTATTTCCATTACATTTATCTAACTGTGACCTTTAGGAAAGAATATCTGTTTAATCACTAATGCATTTTATTTGTTCACCTCTCCGAAGGGGATTTATACACTTTTGTATGTAGAGCTGCTGCAGGTAGCTGTCACAGCTCAAAACATTGACTATTATTATACATAAATATCTAGATATTTAGTCAACGCAATTTGATTTTTTCTTCATTCTGTTTTTTTAAAAAGCAAAAGTATTTATTCTGAAACTTTTGATAATAGGAAAAGCACCAGTTGCTTTACTTTTACAAATCAATAACCCCCTCTCCCCCCCAAAAAAGCAAAAAACCTCTCGGAAGGTTTTATTTAATTATTACAAATAGTTGGGTAAAAAAACAACAACAACACTGCATTATATAATAATTTACTACTACAGCAGTAACAGCAAAAACAGTTATTTGTTTAGTTGGCCTCATAATTAGTCTGAAGAGAATTTGAAATTCAAATATGTGTTATTGGGGGGAAAAACAACAACAGCAAAACCATTGAGGATTTCCATGGATGAACTGACGGGGTGGCGGTAAAATATTAGCATTAGCATACAGCTAGGCCTCTGGTGAGCCCAAAGGCCTCAGCTGCCAGAGACAAGCTAACGCAGACTAAGCAGGGCTTTATTTCCCAATACTCACTCAGGTGGAAACAGCTTGAGCTCCTCTATGGTTCCGAGAAACCCAAACAGAATCCTCATTTGCTCGGACGTTGTGCTCGGGGAGACATTTGTCACCTGGATAACGTGAGTGCCGGAGCTCATTTTCACACGCGCTAATTAAGCTAGCCAGCCCTATGCTAGTGCCCTAAAGTTAAAATTAAGCAAATATTAAAGATTAGAGTTTAAAAAGCAACAGGCTTCTATGAAACCCGAGCATGTCTTCCGTAGGTATAAAAATGGGGATGCTTTCAGCGGACAGAGCAATCGTGCTACTGACGAGACTAGCGATGCCCTGGTGCTGCTTTCAGGGACAGTTAGTCACGCTCCCGGTGATGGATGGATGGATGGATGGATTTTGGAAGAAACTTGACATAAAATCTATAGTGGATGTACTACTTCTTCTGGTGTTGAGAGTGAGAAATATTCATTGAAAGTACCTTTTAACTTATATACAGTTAATAAGGAGTATCTTCCTCATTGTTAGTGTGCTTAAAACTATCGAAGACTGGCGGCCTGTAAAGGGGTTAGTGCAGTCTTGCCCACCGGTTTACACGATTTTAGAGGAAAAGATCTCATAATTCGGTTCGAACCTGAAGGAAGCACGACTGAAGTGGGCGTGGCTAAACTTGTGTCACAGGATCAGGTTCGGTTGTTAGCAGGCGGCTTTTGATGCAGACGTTTAGACATGTGCTTAGTTTAAAATACCCGAAAACGAGCGACCTATGAAAATATCGGGATGTGTTGAGAGCCACAGAGGTATGAAAGGATTTAAATTAGTTTCAACAAGTGAAACTTTCTACCAACATATGCAAAATAAATCTTTGCGACATTCATCTTGGAGCAAATCCTGTCGCTTGCTAACGTAGCAGCACCCTTATTACTTGTTAACAAGTTACTCTTGTGTACATTAATGTATTACATTTGATTGCATATCAGTTAGTAATAGAGACGTTTCTGTCCAGAGATGGAACTAATGGCCGTGCTATGCTCTAACAAGCTGTTGAGGTGAAGACAACAGCATTAAACAGCCATTTACTTTCTGTACCTGCATGTACAAATTGAATTAATCCTTTTTGCATGATGAGTTTTGAATGGTGATAGTTGAGATTGTCTCAGTGAAGCCTTGCTTCATGCTGCTGCTTTTGTGGCAATGTATTTTTGTTGCTTCTGAGCTTTATATCTTGTTTGCTTTATAAAGACTAAACTGTCAACGGTAGAAAGAACAGAATGCTGAGAAAAAAGATTTTAAAAAAAAGTAAAGGGGACATGCAAGTAACCTCCTTTTAGATAATTTCCAATGTGTTCATACAAGTAATAATTAAATAATGAAAAAATAAACATGCAAAATCAAAGCATCATCCCATACAGAAATACTGATAGGGATTAAAACAACCCAACCATTCATAGCTGTCTGCTTGTTTTATGTTCAAAATGGTACATGCACTTAAAACGATCAAGAAAGACAGCAATAAGAAATAAGTTCTTTGAAAAGACTTGATTGCATAAAGCACAAATATAACAGATTAAATGTTTTGAAATAATATATTCGATACAATTTTATTGTTGTGGTATATATTTATTTCATTATTTTGTTTAAGATTTTTGAGAACATATTAAATCTAGGTGGTCTTATGGAATATTAAGTGTTTTTTTTTATCTACCTGGTAAATTTTATATAAAAATGTAAAAAAAAAAATTGAAAAAGGAATAAAACATCCAACACCTCTAATAATATACTTTACAATCTGTAAGCTTATATATTTTTTGTCTAAAACTAGATTTTTCTTTCCAGGACCCACTTGGAAATTTGCGATGACCATCAAGCGCAAAATGATGACTCCCTTCTCACCTAAACCTCGCTTCACATGACTAACATGTGAATATGGGCTTCCTAGTGCTGGTAGTAAGAATCATGGGAAGGATCAGCACCTTCAGATCCTATCAGTTTGTACTTCTACTGGCTGCAACGCTTGCTGTAATTGCTTTTTACTACTTTGGCTCTGAGAGGCACAGCTTCTCCAGTACCACAAAGAGAATTAGACAGACCCAGGCCAACACCAACAGAAATGATGCCGACCTAACTGTGGACACCAGGATTTCACACCTTCCTGCATCAGAACAGCAAAGAGGGGAAGAGCTAAATGTAGGAGAGGAAAGTGACATTTTTAGGTCCAGAAAAGGGAGCTCCGAAGCTGGCGGCCAGCGCTACCATTCTCTCATGATGTTTACTAAGGTGGACAGGAGCAGAAGCCTGCAAGATAAATTCAGGGTGGCCATGTTGTCCATGGTGAAGCTTGCACATTTCCAAGAAGAAGAAGTATTGGTGCTTCATTTTGTCAGTGATCAGGCAAGCCAAGAGCTGGGCCAGAGGATGCTGCAGGAATTTCTGCAGGATGCACCATTTAAATATGAGGTGAGTGTTACCTGTAGTCACCTTTGAGGAAATTTAAAGTTTTATTTTATAATAAATATTTTAATTTTAGACAAAATTCCTTTTAATGTAAAATCAAGTCACCTGAATTTGGCACTCTCTGTTCAAATACTAAGCTTTGAAGATCTTTCAAAAATATTTATACATGCATTTTTGGGGGATTGCAGCAGAAACCTACACAAAGTGCCTTACTGTGAAACAAATTGGTACCTAATTTTTTTTCACACCTTTAAAAACAAAACAATCTGAGATATGGTGTGCGTTTCTATTTAGTCCCTCTGTTTCCAGACTGTAGCTCCAAAGAGCCATATCTCTTTGGAGATATGGCTCTTGTTAGCTTTTCCACTTACATGCAACTATTTCTACCCATTGTTCTGTTCAGAAAAGTTTAAGATTGAATGGTAATTGACCATTTTCAATTCCCAAGTCATATGGTTTTAATTACATTTATGTCATATCACTAATACTTGATTAATGGTTCATTTAAGTTGTATGTTTAAAGCTGTTGTCCTGCTTGAAGGTGAGCAGGACCCTGCCTCAACTCTGTTGCTGCATCTAACATGATTTGCATTTACCCCCCGCCCCCCAAAAAAGTATGCTGGTCCTTCGACTTCACAGTATGAACCAGTTTCAATTTTTCTATCACATAAAATCACTGAATTCAATTCACTTGGTCAGATGACTTGAGAAAGTGGTAGCGACATTATTACTGAATGGATTGAGTTGGCAACTTATCTTAGACGGCCCTGAAAATGGTTCAGTTTAGATAACGCTGGAAAATATGACCGATACGACACTCAAATCCCCAAGACTCCATCAGCTGGAGGTGCAGCTTAAAGTTGGGACACTTGGCGGCAGTGTTTGCCAGCTTAAATAGCACACCACCAGTGAATAGGCTGTAGCTTGTTTGTATTGTTCTTGCCAGAGGAGCATTATGTTTCTAGCTTGTTTTGTAAAATGTCCTGACCAGTTTGTCCTTCTTTGTCTGCTTTTCACAGCTCGCCTTCTTAAACCGATGAAGTTTCTTTCATAAGAGCTTGTGTCTGTTGTTTTTTATTACAAGGAACATTTCATCAGGTAAAATGTGCATTTCCAGGCATTACCTGAAGATGATTCAATCACTTCTTTGGATGGCTCAGGTTTTATTGGTTTAGCTTATCATCTTTGCAGTTTATGCCCTGAGTGATATTTTGCCTTCTTGACCGTTTTGTAACATGTCCAAAGATGGAATGTAAAATGCTTTTCCCACTGTAGGTGGAAGCTTTTAAACACTGCTTTCACAGTACTACCTCTGCTGAGGTTCCTATCAAACTGTCCTGATGATGAACTGAAATGGAAACTACAGAGCACCAGTCCACAGCTGTGGGTGTATCTGCAACAACAGCTGTTGCCCTCACACCTACACATACTCTGGCTATCTAAAGGATATTAAACAGAGCTCCAACCAAGTCTGGAAAAGTTTGAAATTTGATTGAAGTGTTTTTCAGGTGTGGATAAGTACAGAAAAAATATGTTTCCAGACTTTTTAGTTACTGTATCTATTTTCGAGGTACTGGTCCTGTTTTTCCATTCATAAGGAAACATCATAAATAGTTGGATATTATGTTCATAAAGTTTTTAAACTATGGGACCTATACCAGATCAGCAGGTAACTAAAAGGTTAATTCTAAAGCTTTAACTTCAATTCATATTATATTCATACTTGTAAAAACTGCAAACATCAAGCACAAATTCAATTTTGACACATTTTCTACAACACCTTCAGTTATTCTGTTTATGTTTATATCTTGTTTGTTATCGTCTGTTTTTTTTTTTGTTTGTTTAGTTCCTGCCTGTTTCTTGTTTGAAATACGGTTGATGGTGGAAAAATTGAGAGAATATGAGGAGAGGAGATGGAACTTGCCTTGTAAACACTCACTTCAAAATAAAAGCAGGAATGTAAATATCTTTGAGTCCTCAAAGATTGATATCTTGTATTTCTTTTTCTTTTTTTTTTTTCTCCTTGGTTCAACACACCTGGATCACATGATGGCTTGTTAGCAGGCCTCTGCTGGACACTGACATGCTGAAGACCTGGTGACAATCACCAAAGACAACTAAAATTAAGACAACTAATTCAGGACACCAACCTCTGAGGTCTCACTTTGGACATAAATCTTAGTGAAGCTAATTGTGCTAAACATTTTCAGAGTTAGCCAAATGCTAAAGCGCCAAGCAAAACATTAGCTCCAGAAGTGTGCTAAAGTCCTTGTTCTTTGGGTTTTGATGCTTTTTTTCCCCTCTCTTATAGAGAAGCTAAAAGCTGTTAATGACAGAGTCAGTCTTTTATCATTTAAAAGACTCATTTATATCTGTTTGTTTTCCACCCAAACACACACACAGTCAGACAGACACACACATGGATGACGCCTGGACTAAGCCTACAGGCTGCCTCTGCTGTTGTTCTGGTATCATTCCAAACCTTTTAAAAATGGTCCTTTTTTGTGTTTTGAACCTTGAAACATTGCTTCATCTATTTTGATGTGTATGTATGCACAATCA